ATTCTCTGGTCCTTCAGTTTGTATCAAGCAACAAAATGCTCAAAGAGATGACATTAGTTCAAGTTTTCACCAAATGTTCTGTTTAAAACAAGATATCTGTTCTTTTCAGCACCGGGTAAAAGCTAAAGGCTAAAAGCTCGTATTTTAGCATGCTAACAGAGCATAGCAACCAACACTGCTTAAGTAAAACAGGGCTGATGATAGGGTGACAGTCCTGCATACCAAATACCAAGAGTACCGTCGTGACTAAAGACAAACTTCATCATTTCCATCTTTTAAAACATCAGCTCACCGAAGGCATGTCTTTCAGCTTGCCAAACTTTGACCTTGTTAGCTTGGTACACGTTATGGTGCCAACCACCAGTGCCAGGACCAGGATGATGCAGAAGATGAAGATGATGGTCACCAGGCCGGGGTCGTCCTTTAGGTCCCCTTTTTTCCCCCAATCCTGTGAGGCAACTGTGAGTGACAGAAACAACATCATCGTCAACATCTGACGAAAAGAAAATGAGACATGATGGATGAACGGTACTTCAGTATATTGACACTGAAGACAACTAAGTATTTACTGGGAGGACAGCAATGTCTATATTTGTCAGAGGGCCAGGATCTTTCTGGACAGACACATTTTTGACTCACAGAATATAAACATACAGGTAGGTTATAAATGGTGGGGATTACTGGTAGTTATTTAGGTCTACCAATAGTTGTTGTTTTTTTTTTTGTTTTTTTTTTTGCGATAATAGTGCGGACAACACAAAATTATTTCTTTGATGCTCACAATTTTGGAATTTTGGAAAGGGCCGGATTGGAAAATTAAGGCGGACCAGATTCAGCCTGCCAGTTGATAATCCAGTTGGTAGACTAATGTTACCCTGGGTCATTCATTCATTTCATTCAATTCTATTCCTTCATTTCCATTTCAGGTGACATTACAGTGCATCTGCATGTGTATCTTTTTATTTTGTTTCCACTAAGTGAAATTATTTTAGGCTCCAATTTCTTTTTTTTTCTTTTTTTTTTTTTGCTTTCCCTTGATACCTTTCAATGTTGCTGAAAAGAGCTGGAAACAATTCCAGCATTTGTCAGAAGAGGGCAGAGAACACACTGGACAGTTCACCAGCATATAAACAGATAATCCTAATGCTGTATTACTTTGGACTGTGGAGGGGGCTGCCCCCCAACCCCTTTAATTACACCTGTGATTCCACAGTAATGACCTATTTATAAAGAACAGAAAAACAAACCCTTTGGTCCCCTACTGGGGTCTGACCTGTGCCAGTTGTGTCATCAGTGGTTGTTACAGTTACTGTCGGATATGACGTTCCCGTGTTGGACTGAGACGGCATCGACTGATAGGTCGTTGTGTCGCTGGTTTCCTCAATAGATGGACGGATATCAGAACTTGAAGTTGTGGAGGGGCGAGGGGTGGTGGTGGTGGAAGACAGGGCCATGGTGGTTGTAGTGACTGTGGTGGTGTTGGAAGAGGGGGTCGTGGTTGTTGTGACATCTGTGGTGGTGCTCGTGGTGGGAGATTGGGTCGTGGTGATTGGGGCGCCTGTGGTGGCGCTGACAGGGGCTGCGGTGCTAGAGGGGTCTGTGGTCCCTGCAAAAAGAAACAAATTGAGATGATGTAACGACGGACTTCATTCATATACATATGTATATATATATATATATATACATATATATATACACATATATACACACATATCGATATAAACTCAATTTGCTGTTTTTAAAACCATTAAACCATTGTTGCCATGTCATGCTTCTGGTTTATATATATTTTATCATTTATATTTTTGGTTTCAAACACAGTAAAATCCATCCAACCCTCCGTCTCACACTGCACTGGACCGACCACCTGGAAACCACCACGGCACCATTTAAACGGCTTGTTCAAAAAACAAAAAATACGGTGTCTGACTGAGAGTGGACCGAGAAGGATCTGCTGAGCAGGACAAGCCAGTCTCCAGAATCCACTTAACACTGCACCCCCTGCAGGCCAAACACCAGAGCAGGGACATAATGACCATCGAGTTTATAAATAATGCACTCGAGCAGCACATCAGCCACGTATTGACATGTCAGAGACAGCCGGACTGTCACTTCTACTGATGAAGAAGAGTCTCTCCACCGTCAAACACGGAACAAAAGCACATGTAGAGACCGGAGACGACGGCAGGCTAATATCCAACACACGTAGAGGATCATGGGTCCTAGGAGGGGTTGTCAACACACGTAGAGGATCATGGGTCCTAGGATGGGTTGTCAAAGCTCGAAAGCTCACACATGGAGATTTGTTTCTCTCCCGTCCATTACTGTAACTCCTCCGTGGAGCAGCTGAGCCTCTTTCTCACGTCATACCTGCAACACTGGGAGGAAGCAGAGGAACTCTAGTAACCCTTGATGAGAATTCATTTCCTAATGAGATCATAAATGTCGTAGAAACATTACTTTAGCTAGTTCTTTTGGTTGTCGTCAATATTTAAAATCAGTGAATCAGATCTATTCATACTGATATACAGGGATATTTATGATTGTTTCTACTGACGTAGGAAACAGATATTCTGGAATCTGTTTTTATGATTTATTTCTTCAATCTTTGCTGTTGTTAAATACTGTCATAACACTCTGATCATTTATTCTTTGAATTCAGAAAGCACAACACAAGAAAAAAGGGCAAAAAAAGTAATAATTATAAAAATAGATTTACCCCCTTTTCCCTCCATTCTATTCTGAATATCTGTATTATGTTTATACTGTTAAGAAAAGTAAACAGTACTGCTTTAGAGCCCTGCTCAACACTGCGTCCTAGAGGGGAGAGTGTATATCGTCACCCACTGCAGCTTTTAAAGAAAATTAAAGCAAGATTGCGAACGCATTTCAGACAGAAAACTATCTAAACACTATATTTATTCTACGAAGACATTGGTTCACGTCTTGTGTCAGATCTTTTTATTTCTTGTTATATGGATTTTTTTAGGAGGATAATTTGAAAATTAATCTAATTTAAAGCCTATTTATGTAAATTTACAATATAAAAAGAATTGTAGTTGCTGCTGAGAGACAACTGTCTGTCTGTCACTCTCTTCTATTCACCAAAGCACAAAAAGTGAAGCGAAGGCTGAGACGTTGTCCACCCTGGACAGGTCCCCAGTCCATCAGATGGTTACATACAGAGACAAATGACCATTCACACTCACATTCACACCTATGGTCAACTGAGTGAACAAGGACTTATTCCCAAACGGAGTATAAAGTGGCTACAAATAAAAAACTGCTTCAACAGAGTACAGCTATATAAAATCCCCCGTTGTGTCACTTTAAGTCTACAGTTTGAGCTTCAGGTGACAATATTGACTTTGAAGGTGTATTTAAAAATCCTTCTAAGGCGAGCAGACATCAATAAGTGGTTCACACACTGTCACTATTTAAATATTTATTTTCTTCCACATAAGCATCGATATAATTCACAAGCTTCAAATTACTTACTGAAAAAGCTACTTGCAGTGTATCAACTTAAATCATCTTTATAAAAAAGCAAAAACAACAAACTAACAATCCAACTGTGTGATGGAGATCAAATATTCAGGTCAAATATCCACTTTTTCCTTAGGGACAAATATCAGAAACAAAAGTTTTTGCAGCATATTTACCCATCCAAATATCATAATTGCAGTACTACTCAGTAATATCGCATAGGCAAACTTTTAAGCCGGCAAAAGACTTTACATCCAGGTAAGTGAAAATGTACTGTACTTACCTGTACAGACAAACAGAGACAGCAGTACAGTGAGGTACATCGGTGCCGACATGTTAGGAGAAGAAAGTCATTTGAACACTGACACAGACACATGCACAGCGCATCCTTGACCACAGGATGTGGCAGAGTGCCCTGAACCCTGGGCTGGCTCACATCAACGCCCTCAGATTGGTTAGTCAATGTTTGAACAGGGCTGTGTATTTACACAGAGCTCCAGAGAGGGCACTGTGGCTCACATTCACCGTTGACGTTACTGTCGTTACTAAGCTGTATGAAACCCTGCATTAAAAAAAAGAAGAAGTCTTTTGGTAATGTATTATAATATATGAAATAAATATATAATGTAATTATATAAATTATAAATTAATTTGATTTTATTTTTTTACAGTTGATAGAATTCCCTTGTCCCTTTTCTCTAAATAGTTTTGGTTGTTTGGTTATTTATTACATATGAGTGTATTATGCATTTATGGGCTCATTGTTTTTATAGTAGATGACTTCACGAAACAGGTTCCTTCAGAAATCAGAACTGTCGCATTTAATAAAGAGTCTATAAATGTCAACTTTCATTCACTGTCTAAAATCACAGGCACTAAGTGTAATTACACATTTATTTTAATTTTTATTACAACATATATCTTCTTCATATGGTTTTTTTTTTTTTACTTTTCATAAAATCCAAACAGGATATACACATGGAATGTGTAAGGATGATAATTACACCAGGACACTGTCTGACGGCAGCACGTCATGACTCATCCTCCGACAGATTATGGCACATCATTTCAGTATTTACGTACGTAATAATAAACTGCAGTTTTCTTCAACAGTCTCACACCAGTAACCCCTCATTTAAATGCACATTTTAAAACAAGGCCATAATATTAAATACAAATAATAAAAGAAACACTTAAATCATCGCGTACAGTTCTCTCCTTGAAAATAGATTTGTTTTTCTAACGTGTGGCTACATTTCAGTTGTTTTGCAAAACTTTGAATTCTGCATCAAAATAATCACTGTGACATTTTCAAGTCAGCACCAACATCAGAAGGTCACGTTACCAGCAGCTAGGACACAGTCATATATGTGCAGAGCAATTATTAAAAGAACACACCTGCTCATAAGAATAAACATCCAGCCGACCAATCACGTAGCAGCGGTGTGACGCGTGAGCGTCAGCTATTGTCCACAACACAATGAGAGCAGATAATGTTCTTAATGATGGGGTTTGTTTGTCGTCAGACTGGTCGACTCCACACAGTAAATACAACAACTAAACACGCAAACTGACCGGCAGTTTGTTTTCCACGATGACGTAGTTGACCGAGGAACAACGGTTGGTCTGAAAGGAAGGGTTCTCCCAGTGAGAACAGTTAAAGGGCAGAGAGGGTCTAAAATCCTTAATGAGAGAGAATTTAAAATGATCACAGTAAAGAAACCTGGATTTGGGATTAACAAATAAACAAAACAAAAAAACAAGGGCAAAACACAGATACTACTACCTATATTGGGCCTAATACTTCATTCCTGAAAATGTGTACTTTTTCCTACTGCAGTTAGGTGTCTAATTGCACTCGTGGGTAGTGTATCTCAGTAAGACAACGACGGCAGCAGTTTGGAGCAGTTTTTAACATCAGGTGCACTGACTGGAGCAACATTTACTGACAGATTTGTTCTGTTAACATCAGGTGCACTGACTGGAGCAAGATTTACTGACAGATTTGTTCACGATACGAGCAATTTATGGGAACACCTTAAAACACACTTTAGAGCTGATGAGGAGGTTTTATCTCGACATGTCACTTTTATGTTGTGACTTATTAAATAAACATTGTGTTTATTTGTTTATTGGGATGTTGAAATATTGCTTTTTTGTTTACTGGAAAGCAGGAGAGCTGCTCACTTTCTGGTCAGTTGGCTGTTTTTAATTATGCAAAAGGTTTAATTGTAGATGGTATTGGGACAAACTTAGTTAAAGGTGCTATTAGATTTGTATGAATGCAAGCCTGAGAGAGAACTCAGACTTTCTTTTTTATAATGTTAACAAATAATTCATCATCACAGAAATAAATAAGATCAATGAGCACGTTCTTAAATAAAAATGTTCTGGACCTGAACATTCTATTTTACATTTAGTGCACAATAATGTTTTGTGCACAAAACTAAAGGTGACGGAACCTTACTGATGAATTTAACTAAAAATGCTGGAGTTTTGAGTTTCCCACTACAACCACTTTTGAAATGTGGAATCTCAGTGCAGTGGTTTGTGGCAGTGTCACAGCCACTCTTCCCTGAATGATCCTTTCAATAAGCAAATGATTCAAACGTCCAAAAACAAGAAAGTCCCTCCAACCATCTCTGAATCTCTTCTCTGAGTCCAACCACACATGAAGTGTTGGAGGAGAATAACAAGGGCAGGAATCCACAACAGTCTACAATAGTATAAAAAATATGAACCATGTTCTTTTGCCTTGAGTGAATGAGTGGGAAGCAGAACCTCGGTCTCTATGTCTCATCCTTCAGAGGGTTGGATACTTCCTGTTGATCGTGTGCAGCAGAACTGCTGTCTGGCACCTGGTGAGTGTGTGGTTTATCATCCTGTCAAAAAAATTGACAGAATACACATTAAAGTTTAATTATCAATATCTTTGTCTCAGTGGAAATAACATTACATTTTTACAGCCATGAAAATAATAATTTAATCTTTGTGATGTTTCATTTTAAAACATTTTTCTCTAAACTATGGCTGTGTATTCCATAGGACTTAAAAACTCATGCATTAATAGCAGATGATGGCAAAAAATTGTGTGTTTTTGAGCCACAATCCAACATTACTAAACATCACTAAAAGAAAATATTTTTCTTATAAGCCATGATGAAAAAAAAAAATCAAAAAAGTCTCTCTGTGTTATAAAATTCAGGATTTCTGTTTTGTCTTTGTCTCGACTTACTCTGTGTTTGAGGTAGGAGAGGTAGGCGTCCCAGCCTAACGTGACCACGTTGATGTACAGGACGCGGTATTTGGGTGAGACGGAGTAGAAGTTTATCAGCTGAGCTGCTGGCCAAACACACCAGTCCATCTACAGATGAGACAAAACAACTAGGTGTGAGTTTACACAGAACAAACACAACAACATCTGACGCACATTTTCCAAAGGCTGAAAAACATTCGCTTGGAGGCTAAGTGGTGAAACAAGTTGCGACCAGTTTTAAGTAAACAATTTTTTGAGTGGATGTAATATAAGATTAAAACAACGGCTTTAAAAATGGTGATAATGATATAATTTCACCCTCCCAGTCAATCTGGGGTCTTTTTGTGGTTTATGCATGAAATTAAGTTACAAATAAAACGTTACAGTGTTGATGGAGGTGTGCAGCTACTGTATGTACGTTGATAAGTTACCTTAGCCAACATAACATTGTGTCTGCTGTTCCTGGTGTCTCTCCTTGACAGACCAATTGCATGTCAAAGATCAAACTCCCTTCTTAAAAGTATTTTACAGGACTTTTCCAGAAAATTTGTAGCAGCTACAGCACAACAGACATATCATCTAATCATACATTAAAAGCTAGAGTGTCAACAGACATGCATCAGCACAACTTCAAATTTGTTTGCCTTCACCCACGATGCCGGAAGAAGCAGGGAGGTGAAATAATTTTCCATGACAATAAAAGTGTTCTCAGGGAAAATCAGTTATAGCTTGTTACATACTTAGATTTTTAAAAACAGTTGAACATATAGGTGTACTAGCCAAGCCATTAAAATTATGTTAACAGCTCCCTCTGCAGGACATGTTTATATTTGAAACAAACAAAGATTTCACTTCTCATCTCCAATAAAGAGCAAAGATGAACCGATTGTGCAACAGTTGATTTGTGTTCAGCTCTGATAGTGTGAGGATCACTTGCCTTGTAAAATTCCCAGAACTTGCCTTTGAAGTCCTCCCATCCTTCTGATAAAGTGTGTCCCTCAGTGAGATTTATTCCTGCAGTGAGAAGGTTATCTGTCAAAGTGCGTCAGCATCACATGCTGCCAAAACCATTTTAAGATAAGGAACGACAAGGAGTAAAAGGAGTGTGGAGCATTAAAATAATCACTTTTTTTTTAAATCAGTGACAACCTTTGAACATAACTAACAATGTCGTCCACAATTGATTGTGAAACACCTGTCTGACAAAACATCTGTTTAATTACATACATTTGACACTTTGAGTAAATACATAAAAATCATCCCAACACTTAGAAAAACATCAACATTTCTCACCTAAGAAATACCACATGCCAATTGTTGGTGAGGCCACCAATTGGTCCACGAGAACCTTTTTGCCAACCACACGGAGGGCATTGCCAGGGAAGGCTCTGTCTAGCCAGGAGTACCAGTAATGCAGTAGTGGACCCATGGAGCAGCCAACAACAAACATGCAACCTGCAGAGGTGAAATAAATCTTTTTAAAAAACAATGTCAACACAAATTGTTTTTAAACACCAGATCCTTCTGGTGTTGCTTGAAAAAAAAACAATGAATATTTCTAACAAGTATAATACCTGTCCTCCTCCAGTCTCTGATTCTATCGGTGTCTTTGCGGATCTCTAGGCTCTGCTGCAGGCAGTCTCCAAGTGCCAGCATGCCTCCAGAACTGACGACGTTTGTGACCAAGAGGTACCGGCCCTGAAAAAACGGCCGCCAAAAGAACCGCACCCGAACCAAGAACTCTTTACTCGCCTGAGGAAACATGGTGTTTGAACTGCGGAGACATTGAAGTCAGCCACAAGACAAGAGAGGTTTGTGTCACTTTCTGTATGAAACAAACAGCAACTTAAAAAAAGAAATGGTGTTTCCTCCATTATGTGAAAGACAATTCTAAAAAGGTAAATTGTGTAACAAAAAAAATGTTTTATGCCGAAATTAAATTAAACAATAAACAATTTCGACCACTCCCCTGTAATTATTACATTTTTTATATTTGAAAAAAAAGTTAAAATGTATTGGACAATGGCTTCTGAAACGAATTAATACAACTTTAAAGATGTTCATATCTTTGTGTTCTTGTTATGGGACTTAAACTTGCTAAATTATACACACTTTTTAAAAACGGTCTTTATTGTCATGGTTGTTAATCAGTAACTAACATAACTATTCCAGTGAATCAGTAACGACCGTAACTATTACTGATATATCCACAATATTACATGTAGCGTAGTTGGAAATAGACAATATACAGTTAATATAAACACGGTCAGAATATAAAAGCGAAAGAGCAGCATTTAACTTGTAGGTTCACAAAAAAGAAATGATCTTGATTTGACTACATAAACCAAACGTGAAAGGTAACAGAGAAACTTATCCACGAAGCTACTTCACCTCATCTGACATTAGCAGCTGTTAGCATTTAAATTAACTTCTATTTGCTTTAACTGTCAATTCGATTACAATGTAATAATTTTACCTGAGAGGCAACACGTATGGCCAGCCTGTTCTATTTTTTTTTACAGAATTTAGTTTATTTTCAATGTTTTTCAGATGTATGAACGTCACATGTCACATACCGGCAAGCCTCAGGGGTGATGGTCGCTGTCGCTGAAGCTAATTTCACAATCGATGTGCGTTTCCGTTCACTCCCCTAAAATTAAATTTAATCCTTACTTTTAAAAAACGTCAGAGTTTTAACAGACCCTCACATTTTCAGTAGAATTCATTTGTCTATGTCTCTTCAGTGCTTCATGTACCGCACATGGTTACGCTAGAACTAAGGGCAAAACAGACTTCTCAGCAACCAGAGTGCAGACATTGGTACTGATTGACGAGCGCCTACTGGTGGTGTGGAGGGACAACGACGGTATTTGAAAATAATGTTTACGTATTTACGTATATATTTTTAATTATACCCATAATATTCAGACTCATTTGACGAGGTTCTTAAAAATAGCAGTGATGCTAAAAATAATATATGTTTTATTTGATAATTAAAACAATAGATATAAAGTAAGTTTCCATTAAGAGAAGTGTTTTTATTTGAATAAGCCTTATGTAATGTATGCTGCTACTGTATAGCAGTAATAGAAAAGTCTAAATCCAGATTGTTGTAGCACTTCCATTTATCTGCAATGAAAACTTGTGGTCTAATATTCAATATACTACTGTAGATACATTTAAATGCTGTAGTTTAAATTCATATATCTCTGTGATTATAACACAAGGACGGATGTGAGTTTGAAATGGCAGCAGTGGTTACAGATGACCTCAGGATCAATAATTCAGCCTCTCAGGCTCCTCTACTCAATAATCCATGACAGGGTGAGTATTAGAGGCGGGGTTTCTTGTACGTTCATTGATGCAGCTGCTTCGGATTCGTCCAAGACGCTGTCATTCTTTCTCCTAGAGTCCCGCCTGTCTCTCGGTCATTGGACCTCGATGTTTATCGCCCCCAGTCAAGAAAGCGTTGTTACGAATAAGCTAGAAATTTCAAAATAAACATCGTTTAGTCTCTTTTGTTACAAGAATGGATGTTTATAAAGGTTATAGTTTTAACGTTCTACAATAACTCTCAACTAATATCAAAATTGTTTGTGAGTCCTATCTCCAATAATGAATTATTTTTTAGACCGCATTTTCGAGAGCTTTTATTTTGAAATTAATTTTCGGATACTTCGCTGCAGAACATTCCAGACTTGACTGTGGCGGTGCACAATTCTGCGGGTGCTGGACGCGGTGGATAGCAGGATAGAAATCATCAAAGGTGGGACCATTCGCTTTATTTATCTTTTGCATTATTTAATATATACTCGAAAACCCTATGTTTCCATAACTACGAATTGAAAATGGTTCGTTTTGAAATATTCGTCACAATGTACATCCTAATTTTACGCTGTCAAGTGAAGCATTTCATTGGAAAGAAATTAAAATACATATTCGCTTAGAATAACGGTGGAAAACAATTGTCTCCATCAGTGTTGAATATCAATCATGTTTTCTATGTGGGTGAATTTGATTATGCTGCTGCTGCTGCTGCTGTTGGTGGTGGTTAGTGGAGCTGAGCCTTCACTCAGGGCCTGTCCTGCAGGAAAAGGCGTATCTCACCAACCCATGGTTTACATGAATAATAATAATCGACATAAATAAATGCGATTTTCTATCGGGGAAGATGTGTTTTTAATACTCCCTGAATCAACATGAAGAAAATATGGGAACTGCCATTTTGACACCATTGAGTAAATCTGACAGCTATTTGGCAATTATTTTACTGCGCTGGCCATTTTAGTAACGAATACCGTGCTTTTGAAATTCGATTATTCAATTCGATTATCCCGTTGTTCTTTTTTTTTTAAGTATAATTTTAGACACAGTCTTATTTTGTGACACAGCACTGGGCCAAATGGAGGACAGCTCCTCCTGTGATGTGGTAAAGCAGTCTTATCTTCACACTTCATCCTGCGCTGCCCTGCGATGATAAAAGATAAAAAGCTTTTGTTTTGGAAAAACTGCATTTTGAAGGTGTATGTTTGTGTGCGCATGTGTGTGGTGGGGTTGATAGCGAAATTATTAAACGATTATGGAAACGTGTGCCATTTTATTGTATGCTGTAGAAGCTGTGGTGCTGGAAATGTCAGCAAGATGTTAACTGAAGTTGAAAAGTTCCCATTTGTTCTATGTTAAAAGAGAAAGGCTTCACATTGCAACGAAGACCGTCAATAGATATTTGTGAATAGATTTATATGTTGTGACCTACTGTATGAACGTACATTCATAAGTGAAGGACGGCTTCACAGTTTGTACTTGGCTGACCCAGGCAGACTATTGCATTTTCATGTGGACGCATTCTATGCAAATTGATATAAAAAAAATGGCTGCACTCACAGTTAGTGTGATACATTAATGGATGCTGAAGAAAAGGGAAACAGTACAGAACAGAGGGATTACACTGAGTTAGGCCACTGTATGTCTCAACCTTTTTGTATTGAGCAGTATTTTTGGTCGATTCGTTAGCTGTTAGCGAGTAAGCTACTCTTGTTATTGTTTGTACACTATGTACATTTTTATTGTTTGCATGGCAAATTGGAAATGCCAGAGCCATTTTTTGTGTGCTATCATCATCATCATCATCATCATCATCATCATCATTATCATCATCATCATCATCACTGTGTATCGTATTGTCCTCTAAGTTGTCCAAAGCTAAACAACCAATCCCTGTAGCCTCACTCATCAATACACAGCTTTGATGATGCAACATGCAACATCAGCGTTAAACTGACATAGGCCAGGTCTTTTAACTATTCCAGGGGCTGTTTTTCTGCACAAATAAACATTTTCGGCGTATAAAGAGGATGATTGTATAACAGGCCGAGGGGTCAGAGGGGTCAGAGTGGTCAGAGGGCCAGGGGCTGTTTTTCTGCACAAATAAACGTTTTCGGCGTATAAAGAGGATGATTGTGTAACAGGCCAAGGGGTCAGAGGGGTCAGAGGGGTCACATAGCAGCTGTTATAATAACATTAGTTACATATTTGCAAGGAAAGGTACCTTAATTTAATGAAGGCAACTCTCGAGTGATAAATCAAGTTTATCTATATCTATCTATCTATTTATAATTCTTTATGGTGTTGTGTTTGGAGACAGGAAATGTAACAAGCTATACCAGACGCCCACAAACTATATCAAAAGAGAAGACATTTCCAGAAAATCACTGGCATTTGACTGATAATAGACTAAAATGACTAAACTGAGAAAACCAGGAAAGGAGAGATGAAAAGGAAAAATGACAATAAATAGATGTCGAGGGGAACGTTTGTTAATCGCTGTAAACTGTCGTGGTTTCACGTTGTTTAGAACAGTGGTTCCCAGTGTAGCCTCGTCCTCTGCTGACAGTGGAGTTATTACATTCTTACAGGCTTTGAGCTAAGTGTGACGCATCTGCTGAAACCCGTGCAAAAACAAGCGGTCGTCCATGTTGCCCGAGGCGAACCGCAGCAACACCGCAGCTCAAAATCTGACCACAAATATAGTATGTGATGTGACTTTGTTGAAGACATTCCTTAGAGTCTAGAGCTGATTTAATGAGCTTGAAAACTAAAACAGAGAGTGACACTTTCACTGGTATGTTTTTGAAAGTTGTGAATATGTAAAATCAGGAAACATTTATGACGTAAACACAGACAGACAATCGGGAGACTGAGCACACACTCCTCCTGAAGACTTCATTCCCTGCTTTCTGCTTACTGTTGGGGAAATGAATTGAAAAGATGCTATTTTTATCTGAAATCCTACTCATCTGCATCGTCGTACTGGAATATAGGACATGTGATTGGAGCAAAAAGAGGGAAAGATGCGGTCTAAGGCCACATGGAAGTAACATTACAACATAAGAAGTACAAAAAGTGGAGCATCGCTTTATTAAGCTACTCATCTTAAAAATAAATAGCTCAGCTGATACATTTCCTCCAGTAATGGATTCGATTTAATTGCTCTCTTTTTAGCTGCTCCTCTCAGAGGCGACCACACAGACGTCTGCCTCCATTTTACCCCAACCTTTTTTCTGTTATATTCATTCAATCAATGTCTTTTACCACACCTCCAGGGTCCTGTTCACAACGTCCTATCAGCTCCAGTGTATTCACTACCTTCTTCATGGAGCATGTTTCTTAACCATCTCAATGTAACCTGTGTGTAAAAACGTCATCTCAGAACTGCTTGACCTCAACTGTCCCTCTAATCTGCTCATTTTCAATCCTTCCTTAATTCTGCCACCTCCTGTTTGACATCCTTCATCTCTTAATCAGTATCACTGTCTCCTGTTCATTTATTCAGCAATTATTCATTTAACCTATGTTACTGTTTTCCAAAACCGCTCCCATGTACTCAATGGCCACTCCTAAATTCCTAAAAGACCACGAAGACGAGTTCTATATCAGATATCAAAATATCATTATATAAGCTTTTATTAGAGAAGTCAATAGACCAGTACAGGAGCAGCACATGAGCCCAGGCTAGAACCAGGCTAGAACAAGACATTCTGTCCACATATTATTACACTGTCTACCATTTAAAACACTAAAATTGTTTCATATTAACACAGTAATAATATTTTATTTTACTGATTAATCTGACTAAAGACAAACAAACCTGAATACTCAAATGAACTTCAGTTGCTCAGAGCTTCCAGTCAGTTCTATTCTTTTTATGCGTATGAAAGCGCTTCTTCCCGTTGAGCTCAATTTGTGCACCTATTGTCTCGTAGTTAATTCAAGTCAATACACAATCATTATGTAATCAGCAAATGCATTTATCGTAAGAGCAATAAAATACAAAGTTGCACCTGCATGGTGCTGGAGTAAAGACAAAAAGGATGACGTGTTCTCCATCTCTGTTAGATCATCAACCTGAAACGTGTCAACTCTCATTTAAACCAAGTCTCTGAACTGAATGAGACACGACCTAAAAGTGACCTGTCAATTAGGAGGTATTGACGTGACCTTTGATTGGGTGCCAGATTATAGTATACTGGCAGATGCTACTTGACTGACAGAGCAGACGCTGTGTACAGTAGACGGTAGCTGTAGATCAATGGTGTCAAACTCTTTATTCAAACTACAAATATTGTTCATTGCTGTGTAATAAAAAAAACCCTTTAATTTCTTAGGTCAAGAAACTCTGCTGCATGGACTTTACTAAATGCTTTTAAAGCTCCTACGGGCCACACAAAACGGCTTGGGAGGCCGCATTTGGCCCCCGGGCCTTGAGTTTGACACACATGCTGTAGACAGACCGCAGAGAAGAGCGTTTAAAATCATTATGTATCACTTTAAATTATATTTTATATTTTCAGATGTCGTGTATGTACAGATGTTTAAAACCTACTAAACAATTGGGTTTAGCTTCTTCGACCGGAATACAAGAAAGAGGCCAGAATATGTGTAGAAGGAATTATTCTGCCTCTGCTGCTGAAGGCAGCTGGACTCATTCCCAGTAGTTATCAGGTGAGGGCTGAGTAAACCCTGGACAGTTCTGCAGTTCATCACAGGAGAGAGGCACAAAACAATCACAGTCATACTTAATCTAATCCTGTGTGTTTTTGGACCATGGGAGGACACTGGTGTGTTTAAAGCAAACCAATGCACTCAGAACCAATGATCCTCCTACCGTAAGGCAACAGCACTAACCACTGCTACAATTCATCTCTAAAATAATATAGATATAATATAACTTTTTCTGGGACCATTAGTTGCTGCTCGGTGTTTGGCTGATTTGGGATCAGTTGGAGATGAGCTGTGAGTCTGCAGGACGCCAGCCAGTACTGATTAAATGGATCTGACTAGCTTGCCAAAGCAGCACCACTTAACATTGGATCAATTTGGCTCCTGTACAACATCAATCTCAGTTAGGTGACATCTTTAAATGAGTCCCATTACGTCATTGTCCAGCACCGAAACTCTCAGGTCTTAGTCATGATTAAATGAATACGACAGGGCAGTCAGAAGTATTGATCATCATTACGCTGTTGAGTAAAGCCAGACAAAATATTTTTTTCTAGTTTAGTTTAATTTTTTTGCTGCACAATGCTGAGTTGCAATTTTTGTGAAATGAATCACAGCTTTTTACTCTACTCTGTGTTGACAGTGTGCATTACTCCAGCTTTGACGTTTGCTAAAATTAATAAGGAGTCACATGTTTAAGATTTGGTTCCTGGGATTTTATTATCGCCTACGCAAAATTTATTGATATTTAAGTGCAAGCACAACAACCTGGAAGTCTCAACGTAGGACTAGGAGTGATGTCACTGTTTTCATTAATGGTTTTTAGTTCATTAAAGGGCAAGAACTCGTTTAGGCAAAATGACTTTTGGCCACAGGGGGAGCTGGAGCAAATTTGACGAGAACACTAACCATCTCCCTTATTCAAGCTTCTGCAGTTCAAAGTTCAACCTAAAATAATACCAAGTACTTTCTCTATATATTACTAGTTATAATATGTTGGTGTTGTGGCCTGAATCCTTGGGGAAAGATAATTGTTTTGATAATGATTCTTTTTCTTGCCCAATCAGAATAATGTGTCATTCATTGGTGATGAAAAAAGACTGGAATGATCACGGTATAAATGCTGATAAACCGTAGAACTCGTCGTCTCAGCTCTCTGAGTTAGAGACAAACCGAAGCAGCGACATGCTGTGAACTGTGCGCCAGAGACAAACCGAAGCAGCGACATGCTGCAGCCTGGAGGCTGAACTGTGCGCAGTATAACGAGGGTTTGGTAATTGTTATCAAATGAAACGCAGTCTAAAAACTTCACCGTCAAATTAGTTGAGTCTATAAGTGAAAGATAAGACACCTCTCTGCTCCGACAACTAATCTCCGAGACACAGAAAGTCTGCTGTTATCTCACCACCGGCAGCAGACACTGAACGGCCTCTTGTGAAATCCTCTTGTGAAATCCTGCAACAAAAGCCTGGAATGTTTGACGAGACACAGACTCCCGACAGCGGCACCTAATTTTCAACCTCCTTGATTCACCGCTATTAATAACCGTCACATGCTTACGCTTCATTTTAGGATGTTCAGCCAAAACACCGCTCTCAAAGCAGCTCAACCCCGAAACGACGAAGACATTCATAAAATATACATGCGGCCATAGCACTGGTGACGACGCAGCAAAAATTATTTGCTGCAGCTGTTGTCTTTTCTTTACCAGAGAAAAAGACAAAACATTCAGCCTGTGACTCATGCTTTTTAAATTTTTTTTCTCCGAGAAAAAGACAAAACATTCAGCCTGTGCTTTTTTAAAATTTTTTCTCTAAGATTGATAATAATTGATAAGGAATACAAACTAAAACAGCTGGTATGTGTGTTTGAGTTGATGTGCTGCTTAAACAAAGTCATCAATGACAGGAGTCGGTGCCAACCTGAGTGTAGGTTTTGGTGCAGCAGTAACAGAAGTAGATACATTTTTAATAGAGCTGCTCAAAGAGGAAATCCAACACCAAACACTGGCTGTGATCAAGTGTGGCCTCGTTTTCGGTGGATCTGTTTCAGTCTGAGCAGGAGAACCAGTCAGCGATGCTGCAGCTAGATTTCTACAACTGGTTTAATAAAATATAACATATGAGGTTCTTTCACATCGTCCTATGGTTAAAGATGTAAAGAATAACATATGAGGTTCTTTCACATCGTCATGGTTAAAGATGTTAAAGATGTAAAGGTGGCCTTTCCGACTAATTGTCCGAGAATTTTAATTTTCTTAAATTTGACATTGTGTGTGTTAAGAGACGTTGACAGTGTGGATTTTTCTATAGCTTAGAGTTGGTCAACGTTCTGCGGTTCCATGTCTCCAGTTGTCTCCAGGTATTTGCAGCTAGTTCAGTTGTGCAGGTTGAGAGTTAGCCTTGAGTCACCGGATCCACGACCTCCTTTCAACACAAACCGAGAATGTGTTGAGGAAGAGTTGGAGCTTCTTCATTATTTAGCGAGCGATCTCTCTGCTTCTTGGTGTAAACTGATCTGCTGCAGCGGCGAGGAGGCTGCACACTTGTTGTGTTTGTGCTTCATTCCCCGAGAGTTCTAGTGTTCCACTGCAGTTGAGTCGAGATAATGGTCTAAATATAGAGCTGAGAGTGCTGTGAGTCGAGGCCACCAAACTTCTGGAATAATCGTGTTCCTCTTCTCCTCAGTTGTTTTGGCTTCAGCTTCCGCAGAAATGGTGGGAGTTTTCAGTCAAGTACAATTCTTCAGTGGTGGATTTATCACTTGACTGTGTCCTGCGTGGAACCTGTATTTACCAGTGTGGACGTAACTCCTCTTGGTATTGAGTTTCACTAAAACCAATCAGCATCTCAGTCTTGTGAACACAACATTTGTGGCTTACATTTAGCATTTAGCATTTGTGGCTGTGGCATAAATCCTTTCAAGGCATAAGCACACAGTAATCTGTGCCCTTCGTGACTTGCACTACTCTGATGATCACTGGGAGAAATTTTGATGATAAACTCGATGACAAACGACACAGGCTACACAAGAATAAATCTGGATCAATGTCCTGACCCACCGTCCGACTGATTACAGCTCAGTCTACAGTCGTCTGTGTACAGGTGAATAGAAAATAAAATTGCTCAAGATGTGTTTAATTTTATCAGGCAACAGCAGTGATCCTGCTCAGGTTGTGACTTGCACGTTGTTATGGAATTTCTGCCACTGAGCTGCCAGTGAAAACACAAACCAGGCCGTGCAGAACACACACAGAAGGAGAACGGACTTTGTTTACGCCCACACCTGCCGCACCACCGCTGACCACCACTAGGACACAATATACAATAACCTGATATAACAGCACATGAAGCTGACCTTAATTAGAACCAGCTACAGAATAGCAGACTCCAAACTCGGTGCTCGGCCTGTTTTAAAGACGCAGAGCTAAAAATGCAGCATTGCACAATACTTTGTTCTGCTGCATCTCCAGCTGCTTGTAACAACACGGACTATTTTCCCTCTGACATTTCTGCGCACTATTAAAATTCAAATGAATGACCTTTTCCTGGAGGAGCTTCAATTGAGTTGATAATTTATTCATGTAATTATTCTGGATATTTTAGGCATTGATTTGTTTCATTCGTGATTTGTTTTGAACACCATATTAACTGAATTCTGTCATAGTTATTGGTATTAGTGATATTAGTGTTAGTTCATCTATGATTTCACTGCCTTGAATGATATTTTGGTTTTTCTGTCTCCCTGTTATGATCCATCAGTAAACACTGCATAAACATTTTCCACTATTTTTTTTCAGTCCTGCTTTTTTGGACCAATTTATCAGTGGGCTTGACGAGGAAAAATAATTGATCAATAAAAATTTAATGGTAATGTTTCAGTATTATACAGTAGCATGAGTCATCATTCAGTGATTAATTCTAGGTATCAGAAGTTCTTGGTCTATATTTTGATTTACGATATTAACAAATACCAGTTCAGTTACAGGAAACATGACAATTTTGGGCATTCTTGCGAGAATAAAACAACTAGATTATTAACGTTACCAAAGCCGCCGTTAAATCCTTTGGCTCTCATCTCTGAAGACGTTAAACTTTAAATTAAAAAGAAGAGGAAACTCTTTTAGGTTAGATCACCACCGCCATTAAGCGTCTTGATGTCTTGATGCAGTTACAGTGTTTAATTAAAGTTTTATTATCTGTTACTAGATGGCCTCTGCAACAGCAACCTACGGGCAGAAGGAGTCTTCGGACCAAAACTTTGACTATATGTTCAAGATCCTCATTATCGGGAACAGCAGTGTGGGCAAAACCTCCTTCCTGTTCCGCTACGCTGACGATTCCTTCACACCGGCCTTCGTCAGCACGGTGGGCATCGACTTTAAGGTGAAGACCATCTACAGGAACGACAAGAGGATCAAATTACAGATCTGGGTGAGACATTTAATCAACTGACATTTAAGACTGGATGTAAAAAGTGGATGAAGATGATCCTGGAAAAACACGGAAGGTTCTTCACTGGTTTTGGAAGTGTATCTGTGCAAATGAATAAAAGGGACTGGGATATTTTATCATAAGATTTTTTTACACATGAATTCCATTGAATTCCATTCCTGTTTAGAGGAAAATAAACAATGACAGAAAAGGCGACTCTCACGTAGGTTTAGGCGAAGTGATTGGTTGTTGAAAATCTTAATAATTAGTCACATATTTCCCTGTTTATTTACAGCTCAGTGCAACAATGTCCTGTTTTTGTAAACTGCTGTTGTGAATTATAGAAGGAAGTCAAAGTCAACGACTGCAGCCCAGTATAGATCCAGTTCCAGTCCCCTGACCTCAGGAGGTGACATGATGCTTTTTGAACACAGAGCACAACAGGGTGATGATGTAAACAAGAGCAGAACGGTCCAGACGAGCAACAACAACAACAACACGTTCCTCAGGCTGAGCGGAGCAGAGCAGGAAGGAACCAGTTATTTTAAAATCATAATGCAGTCGTAATTCACACGTGTACGTGTTCCACAGGGAACAGAGGTGTGGGAGAGGGGGCTCGAAAAGAGAGAGAGAGAGTAAGAGAGTAGGGGGGGGGGGATGTCAGCTGACTCTGTTGTCAGCCTTTGCCAGTTCTTGCCTCTAGTGTTGAAGATTGATGCCGACCAATGGGAATGCAATAAACCAGCGTCCCACCCCTCCCCCATTACTACACATCCACTCCAGCAGAAATCTCCTCCCCCTCTCAGTGCACACACACACACACACACATGCAGAAACAGCACGCACTTTACACAAACACACACATACGCTCACACACACCCCCATCACCACCTCTCAGCTGAGTCCACATACGTCCTCTATGAGAGGAACATTTCAATTGTGCAAATTTACCTAGAAGTGTTGATGTATAACAGTCAGTTCACTGGTTACTGGAAATGAATATTAATATATTTTTCATATATTGATTGTTAATAATAATAATAATACTGTAATACATACTCAAATATATTGGATTACAATTGGATTACAACGAAGGAAATGTATATATGATCAGAATTTGCAAATCTGCCATCAGTTAGAACAGTGGTTCTCAAACTGTGGTAGGCGTACCACCAGTGGTACGCGAGTGCTCTCTAGTGGTACGCGGGGAAAAATCATATTTTCACATTTACGTGTTCAGTTGAATAAATCTGAAACATACCATGTACAAAGTTTGAGAACCACTGAGTTAGAACATGTCAAGGACAGCAGTCTGAGGTTAGGATCAGGATCAGGATCAGGATCAGGATCAGGATCAGGATCAGGACTTCCTGGTTCTCCTGACGTCACAGTTCATCCAGTGCTGTGTCTGCTGCTCCTTCTAGTGCTGAGGTGATGCAGCACATCACAGAGCAGCAGGTCAATCAGTGGCAGAACATAAGAACAAACAATACTTGTCCCACAAAGGTCAAGACCGTGGAGCTCTTAAAAACATGTCATACAATGTTCTTGTGACCGGAGTGATGAGGAAGATCGTGTGTGGTGGAATGAATAGCTGCATTGATTGGTCTAAGTATACAAGAAGCCTAGATGTGCATGTGTGTGTGTGAGTGTGTGTGTGTCCCACTGACAAACTGGTTGTGTGAGTGTGTGTGAGTGTGTGTCCCACTGACAAACTGGCGTGATGCTCTGGTACCGGAGTGATTGAGAGTGTTGGGTGTCACAAACATTGAGCTCTAATTCCCTGAGCATTCATTAGAATTTAGCAATGAAATTCAACCTCACAGGCTCCTGTCGCCCAAAACGAAAAGGCGAGAAGGAGACGGAGAGAGAGAGAAAAGAAAAACGTGATAATATTCTGGTGGTTTTGAAACCTCTATAAAAACAAAGGCACTTTGAAAAATAGCTAATTCAGAAAACAATGTCTGACAGAGACGGAGAGAGAGAGAAAAGAAAAACATGATAATATTCTGGAGGTTTTGAAACCTCTATAAAAACAAAGCCACTTTGAAAAATCACTAATTCAGAAAACAATGTCTGACTTTCAGGTGATCACAGAAGTCAAACAGACAACGTAACCTTAGTGTTTCCTCCCTTCCCTTGCGTCTAGTAAAAGCAAGAAGAAGAACTAAAGTTAGATCAAATGACAAAATAACGTTTTAGTTTTGATGTCCAGTAGATAAAAACATCTCTGAAATTTCCCCAGACTCTTTATCAGCTGTACAGATCAGTGTTGTTGTACAGAATATGAGACATAACAGACTCTTTATCAGCTGTACAGATCAGCGTTGTTGTACAGAATGTGAGTCATAAATAATTCAAACTGTGCCATTGACCACATCTGGTCATGTGACCCATCTTCTCATTTACCCGTTTGTAGAGATATTCACAATGAGTCAACAACCCCCTGCATCTGCACGGACTACGTACTTCCTACTGGTCACCTAATGGGGTCAGCAGCAGGAGAAGGAGGAAGTAACTGAAATACATTCAAATGTTTTTAATGTCCTTGTCAATGTCTCCTTCAGGACACAGCAGGACAGGAGCGTTACCGCACCATCACTACAGCCTACTACAGAGGGGCCATGGGATTTATCCTCATGTATGACATCACCAACGAGGAGTCCTTCAACGCTGTTCAGGACTGGTGAGTGGTGGGAGGAGGGAGGGGTGGGACTGGGAGTGTGGGGATTATGTTACAGCCAAAACAATATTCATGGCTCAAAAATATATAAATTGATCCTTGAAAGTGTTATGATTGGTGTCTTTTAATGCTGTTGTTTTTTTATAGCATTTGCCTGATATATTGATGATGTTATAATGATTTAGCTTGAAATGTGGAGGCTAAATAAATAAATTAAAGACACATTGTCAGAGTTAGCAGATAAATATAATACATTCAGTTAAGAAATCAATTTAAAAACTAGCGTCACGTTAGCCTGAAAGCTAAAACCATAAACCAACCCTAACATAATTACCTACAAACAATAAGTCCATGATTTTCCTTTATTTTCAGGCTCATGAATCAGAACATCTTAATGAGCAGTGGCGGTGACGCAGCTTTTTCATTTCCTCTCTGTCCACTGCTGTGTTTGTTCCCAGGTCCACTCAGATTAAAACGTACTCGTGGGACAACGCCCAGGTGCTGCTGGTGGGAAACAAATGTGACATGGAGGACGAGCGAATGGTTAGCGGAGATAGAGGCCGTCAGCTGTCTGAACACCTGGGTGAGTGTACATGCAGATACCTGCCCACCCATAGACAACCACACAAACACAGGCAGGTCCGATTGTATGCAGCTGTTTATCCCCAAAACTGAGGTAAACGTCTCAGTACTCCACAAGTGATTCCAGCATATTTGGCGAAACCCAGGCATTGAATAATGGGTTGTCATTATCAGAGGTAAAACCAATAACGATTCTTACAGATATTACATAATAATGCTAACATTGGGTCGGCCGATGTTATCGCACGTAATGCTTTCCCTGTTCCTCAACCGTATCTTACAACACGTAATGCTTTCCCTGTTCCTCAACCCTATCTTAGAAGCTTTCCCTGTTCCTCAACCGTATCTTATAAATATAAGGCTATTTTTCTTTTTTTTGACCAACAAACAGACTGCGGCTAACTTCACTCTGCCGTATTCTACACTATTTTGTGACCACGTCTTAGCAGGACCTGTGACCTCTGACCGTCATCCACCACTTTCCCCTCCAGGTTTTGAATTCTTTGAGGCCAGTGCCAAAGACAACATCAACGTGAAGCAGACCTTCGAGCGCCTGGTCGACATCATCTGTGAAAAGATGTCAGAGAGCCTGGATGCTGGAGACCCTGCCGTCACAGGAGCCAAACAGGGGCCCCAGCTGACAGAGCAGCCGGCTCCACCTCATCAGGACTGTGCATGTTAAAGCTGACTGCTGCCCCAAACCTACCCCCCTGTCTTTTTTCTTTCCTCCTTCAGCTGAATCCCAGGTCTAGATACCTTCCATCATCCTTTCACCTACTCCTCTGCTTCTTTCTGTAAATCATGAAAAACAAAAAAGAATGAGGTTGACAAATATCTGAAATATTCTGAGATTCTAGTGGATTTTTTTTTTTCTTCCACTCTTTTCAATCAGTGCTGGCGAGCGATGCCAAATCAAGGTCAGTTAAAGCAAAGTGTTTCAGATTTTGTGCAACCTGCATTCCTTGAATTCCCCTTCCCATCGTCTCCCATCGTCTGGTTTGAGATGTTTTACAAGAAGGATTTGACGGCGTTGGTCTCCAGTGTGCCATTAAAATCCTTCTGATGTTTACAGTACTTTGTTTGGTGTCAGTCAAAGGTTTCGTAACGATGTCACTGTCAGATTTGTTGACATCTGAGTGAAGTTAGGAGGAAAGGACGATTCAGCTGAAAACTGTCGTGTGTGTGAAGTCTCTGGTCCCACACAGAGTCACATGTTTCTTTTGTTCTTTGTGTTTTTGGAGACTTGCTTATTTGACCTCGCTTTGGTCTTTTTATTATCTTTTTTTTTTTTTTTACAATTCCTTTCCATCATTTACTGTAATGTTTTCTTGTTTGTTTTTCTCTTCTCTTACATGAAACACTAGGTGGGGAAGACCACGGACAAGATGTAATTAAAAATTAAGAGACACATTTTATTTAATTATATTTATTTAACTGTGCTGTACATTTAAATGTTGTGCAATATATAAATATATATATTATATCTAGAGGTATGCATTTTGGGAAATTAAATTAAAAAGTATGATCTTCAATTAGGACAGAATCAAATATGTACCAAAACAAATTGTATGTGTTGTTTGGAAGATGTGTGGGTCGTGTGTTTCCCCCAAATGTCTTCATTTTATGCTGGTAATTTTGACAAGTCAGAAAATCAAACCTCCTTTAAAAATATATATATATAGTGAGTTGACTTCAGTGTAAATCATATGTCAAGTTAGCAACATATGTATCTCCCTCTAAACAACAAGCAAAAAAGCATAGCAACTAACTGATGAAAAACAAGGTAACATTAGCATCATGAAGGCCCAGGACAACTGAATATCACGCTATGCAACACAGTTAAGTTTCATTTGTTAACAGTGTGTTTTGACGATTTTACAGTGTTTTATATATGAAGCAGAGGAACCCCCCCCCCCCTTTTTTTATCTGAACTAGAACAATACAAACTGTTAATGGTTAAAAATCTGTATTAATTTAAACAATTAGAATGTAGAAAAAAACAGTTCAGACCAGAATCACACTGAAAACAAATTCAATTACATATCATTTGAACTATTTTATGTTTTTTTTATGTTGATTTTGGCTTGTTGGATGCGACAACTTTGAATTTTATGTTGTGTTTCGTTGATGTGCTGGTTTGACCACAGGGACTGAAAGAAACCAATAAGAATAAACTGGCATGTGATTATAACCAGGTGACTTCAGTGTTCAGGCGTCAACATTATCAAACCTGCCTCAGTCCTCATCCAAAAACAAACACATTCTGACTTGTCCACTGAAAAACTAACTGTCCTGTCTGTGATGACAACTGACCAACTCCCACACAGAGACGACGGTGCTGCTGCACACTAAGAGAAAGTCAAAGGAAGGCACCATGAAATGCACTGCAAATACCAGCAAAAATACCAAGCTATCATAACAGCATACCGTACGTTTCTGATTCCAACTTTGACAAACAAAAGCCTAACTTTTCTCTCGATAAATGAAAATTGGTAAATGTGAAGCACATATTTAGCTAGGATGTGGCTGCCTTCAGTTTGGAGATTATACTTTCCGATTGTGAAATCTAAAAAATGACTGTTTGGATATAGAACAGAACACTGTCACGGCAAATGAAAATAGAAAAGTAGAAACATACTGTAGCAGAGCTAGCCTAAAAGCATTGCGCTGTGCTAGTACCCGCTGTGGGTAAAATTAAACTGTAACAACATCGATTTATCATACATTAACTGTTGCTTGAACAAAGAAAACATTTAAAGTAATAGCTAACAGAACAACATTCAAAATTTCGAAAATGTAATTCCTCTCTTAACTGACTACAACTCAGCACCTTAAGGCTACGGCGTTTCCTACATGTTAGCTTGTTAGCAATTTTCAAAACACTTGTGTACAGTAGAAAAGTTACATGTGTTTTAAGTTGTTTTTTTAAAAACTAATCACTAACATTGCAACTACCCAAATCAGTATTTTAAAAAACAGTTTAATTATACGGGAGCTTTTGTTTCACTTCAAAGCTCTTTGTGTAAATGAATAATGGACGCTGATCATTCAGGGAACAAATTGTTGCTGTGTTTACAGTGCATTAGCCTGGGTTAAAGGCAGGTGTGTAGCATTCAGTCAGTAAAGAGTCACAGCTGAGATACTCACTGTAAAAGTGTGTGTAGTGAGGCTTCAGTCAAAACAGTAACTGTTTTTTGACAAAAACCTGGGAATTGGCTTTATTTTATGTCAATGTAACTCCTTACTGGTTGCGACTGTTTCTTTTTCCAGTGAATCCAAACCCTTAAAACTATTCTATCAAATATGTCTTCCTCTCTCCTATATAAACCCAGACTTGTAAATAGTGTACCTTAAAGTCATATGTGTAGGTTGTGTTGTATTAACTCAGGCTTGCAAAAAAAAAAGAAAAAGAAAAACAACAACATAAAACAGAAAAGAAGTGACTAAAAACCTGACCACCCCCTGAAGACTGTACCTGCGTTCACCTCTAACTTTGCTTGTGAATGAATGTGTCACTCGGTTACAAAGCAATACACACTACAGCATCTGGACGTGTCCTCAGAGCCTGGTAGAGGCTGCTGACCGTAGATCTACTAGCACGTATAAAAACCTCTAACTTTGTTTGGTCTCATGTCACTGCCTCCCTGACTCCTCCTTTGTTTCAGCCATCGATGAGATGAGAGAATGCCGTGGATGTTTTTATCTGTATCTTTGTGGTAAAAGAATAATAAATAAAATAAGAAAATGTTGCTAACATGCAGCTGACTCCTGTACTGGCATCATTATTGTATTTAAAGAGGGCTCAGAATGTAGCTGAAAATATATGAGGATCAATTGGATTATGGCACAAAATATTATTTTATATCAATGCAAAACTTGCAATTAAAATAAGGTGATTATTGTTTATCTCACTCAACAGTCGATTCATGTACCTTGGGTACTTACTACTTCCCAGAAAAAAAAATGTAAATGTATATATAGTCGATATAATTTAAAAGTAGGAAGGCAAATATTTGATATTATAATGTAATAAATGTAACGTATTTTTCACATTGATTCCAAGAAATTATACAGTCCATATCAATAAGTCATATTTTGATACAAACTCCGACCTAACCCTAATTAATGCTAACTAAAACCCCAATCGTCTTAATAATATGCTTTAGTATTGGCCTTTTCGGTGTAATCATGTTTTTGTTTGCAACTTTTTAAATAAGCCAGCAGAGGGCGAAAGAAACCACGAGGACGATGCCTTGGCGCAAAGCGCTGAAGTTGTACATTCAAAATTGTGTTGTTATGCAACACTGATCTATTCAGGTTAAACTAATTGTGTTCTGGAGGACAAGATGTCGTTACTGTATTTGTGGTAATGTACCGTGAATACATGCGGTCTAATATATACCTCAACTCATCCACGTACAAAAATATAAATCGTCATTTCTATTGAATTCGAAGGCCTGGATTTAAATTCCAGTACATTTCTTTGGTCAAAATGATTAGAAAAATGAACCCTGTTGTTAACACAGAGCCTTTTAGGTCGAATTGTGTAACCATAACCAAAAACCTAACCCTTTTACAGCACGGTATATGAAGGTTTAGTGTCAGATAACAAACAAGCATATTTGAATAAAAATGTATTTATTTTGATAGAGCCTTTTATAACTCATACTGTAGCAGAATTTTTTTTTTAAATAGAATAATCATTTTTAACCAGTGCACATACAGGTAAAACAGGCTTGTAAATAATAAGAATGTCTAAAGCAGAACTTCTTTATTTCGGCATAAATCTAAAAAAAGAAAGAAAAGACAATCGTTGATGAAAAACCACGTTCTGTTCACAGAAGCTGACAACTGAGTAGATTTAGGCAGCAGAAAATTGAATTGGAGGAGAAAACGTGTCCAGTGAAGCTGCCGGTCTGATGAATCTGTACAGTCTCTTTAACCGCTGTGTTGAGATGTTTCAAAAACTGATCGGTGAATGTAGAATTTGTCAACAACAGCACACATCTGGGCTGCATCACAGAAATAAAAACGACACCTATGAGGTCTTTAAGCTTATTTTTTGGTCCACAGCAACTCTGTCCATCAGATTAATGCACCTGAACCTCGTGTGGCAGCAGCTGACAGCCGCTGTTCACATGGCTCAGCACCTTCTCCTTCAGCTGGGCCACCTGATCCCGGAGCAGGTTGGCCGTCGACGCCAGGTCGCTGTTCTGGTTCTTCAGTGTTTTCACCTTGTCCTCCAGCCTGGAGATTCGCTCCAGTTTGCGTCTCCGACACTTGGAAGCCGCGATCCTGTTCCTGAGCCTCTTCCTCTCGGCTTTAATGCGCTCCTGGGAGTCCATGTCGATGGGGGACAGCGGGGGACTCTCCCCGAAGCTTTGAACGTCGGGGACAGTCTGAGGTTCCTCTTTCAGCGGCGGCACCGGAGAGAGCTCCGGCTGCAGGTGATGAGGCGGGAAGGGAGCCGTGTCTGTGGAATAGTTCACGCTGGTTCCCAGTGGTACAGAACCGTAATTGTTCAGGTTTGTGTAAACAGGTAGGTCCGGCTGGAGAGTGACCGGGACGAGGTTGGATCCCAGGTCCATGCTGCTGCCGCCGCCGACGCCGCCGCTGCCCTGCACCTCCGCGCTCAGCTGGTTCTGTTTGTGGAGATCCTCCAGCGCCTTCACGAAGCCTTCGGCGAACTCCTGCTCGTCCGTCACCGGTTTCGAATAGAGAAACTGGGAGCTGGTGGGCGTCGTGGTGACCATGCCGTTGGACTGGATGATCAGCCTCTCCAGCTCCGGAGAGGCCAGCTTGAGGAGACCGAGATCCGGGGAGCTGAGGATGCTGTCGGCGTCGCGAAGGTGCGGTTTAAGATCCGCGTCGTCGACCAGGTTTAAGGTAACGTCCTTCTTCATCATTATCTCCGTGGATGAAACGACAAGTGGTTCGGCTCTGTCCTGTCTCACAGCAGCGCCTTTTCCATAACCTCACCAAAATAAACCCTGGTGTGAAATCTGACGTATAAATATTTTTTAACTTTAATAAAATTGTGCTCTATCCTACTGTAATGCTCTGTAATGTAACAGTGAGGCTGGTGGAGATGTTCAGCTCCTGAGGTGACTGTGAGCGTCATGAACGCACCGCCTCCAGCTTTTCTAACCTCGCACCTTCCATTGTGTCACATCAGAGCGACTGCATTGGGCAGTGAAAATTACGTTTTCCAGACATTTTTATGAATAAAGACTAGAGATGAGAAGAGAGGAGAGAGGTCTCACTCCGAGCCTCAATCTGGAGACCAGTCAGGCTACACGGGCAGCAAGAGTTTTTAATTACTTTATCACCGATAGATTTACCTTTTGTTTAAGGAACCCTACGTAGTTTTTTTCTCACACACACACACACACACACACACACACACATATATATATATATGAAAAAAATATTTTATAAACTATAATTCTCTTGATTATGTGATTATATACTTATATACATTTTTTACACCGACCGTTAATAAACGTTATAAGTGTTATTTCGCAGTGTGTCCGTGACGTTTTCGTGAATTAGCACTAAGCTACTACAAGCGATGTTTATTTCAAGGATAAACAGGTTCACTAATAAATAAATAAAAACTGAGCTTTCGGTTTTCGAGGCGGATTATAATTTTGATCATTTTCCGGCTTTAGTGAAATCTCTGCCTGCGAAAATTATTACAGTACTTGTTTCTCTCTCCTCCGTTATCTTCACACACAGTCTTTCGGGCAGTAAAGGGTTACACGGATTAGGTGTTTGCGTCAAAGGTAGGTCCTAACCATCACCGCACAGCATTCCGCGGGTGGATCACATGACAAAGACTGTGATGTCACATTTACGTTGTGCGGAAATAGGGGTGGGTGGATGAAAACCACCGGAGGATAGATATTTTTGTCTAAAAGCTGAGTACTGAGGGAGTGGGAAGGTAAGATTGAAGCTCAGAGAAAAACAGGTTGGCACTTCCTGGTAAAGGATCCACTGCTCTCTGCCAAACACTCTTCCATTTCCTCTTCACTTCATTTTGATGAAGAGGTTTCTGTGTTATTATTAATTTGATCACTTTAAATTCAGTTCATGAATCCACCAGTGTCCAAACCTCCGGTGTTGAAAAAAAAAGAATTAAGACAAATGATAGTGTTTGTTAGTATTAATTATGAATTATTAGTATTAACATTGAATTACGAGTTATGAAGTATTGTAATGTTGCCTTATGAACATGTGCTTAAAATACATTGTTCTTTGAGGGCTAACCTTTAGTGTTGGTGCTAAGCTAAGCTTTTATTCATGCCTGACGCTAATGACAACAGAATGTGAAATTTGACACGGCTCCTTAAATGTCAGCTAATGTCTGAGGTTTGGTATATTCTTAAAAAAAAAAGACGAAAAAGCAGGTTTTCTACTAGGAGCCTGGCACTGATTCATTTCATGTCAAATCTAATTTGACTAACTGCTGATTTTCTCAAGTTTCATTTTGATGCTAACTTGAAACGTAATTCCATTTTTTGGCATAGCAGCATATATGTGATTGTACCACTGTGGTCTGTAAGAACAGCTGTTGTGCAACAGACCCAGGTTGATATCATTGATTCTGAATACTAGTAGTATCTGTCTGTAATAGCAGTAATACTCACTGCAACCCACTGAACCAAAACAAATTGACTATTCAACAGGACCGTTAGCCATCATCAGGCAACAACAACAGGACCAAAGAGAAGAACCACCTTAGATGTGACTCACGTTCTACACAGCAGTACAGACACAGTCAGTTATCCTGAGGCCAAACGTACCAATCACCTTCAGACATGACAGTCACGCCAAGCTTTACTACAACTTCCATCTGACTCATCAGTGTTGACACACAGTTTAAAGGGTTAGTAGTTGACACATATTTTACTATGTTCGTTTGATGAGTAATAAAGTTACTTAGTTATGATATTCAGCAGCAGAATATGTACTGAACCCACTACACTGTGAGTACTTCATGTTCTCATGATGATACCTCATGTTGATGTGAAATGGTAGGTCAGTACGTTGGTCACTAGGTCAGATGGATGAAGAGATAGATAGATAGATAGATAGATGGATGGATGGATGGATGGATGGATGGATGGATGGATACATTAACTCCACACATCCCAAACACTGATTGTGATCCAGTTTTGGTTTGACATTAACATCAAAAGATCCCAAACTGTTCCTAACAACATATCAAATCTGTCGTATACAGCTTGGTACAAATGTCCACAGCTCGGACTTCCTATTATCAAAAGGAGACTGATGCTGAAAGTAAATGTGCAAAAACAATAAAAATAAAAAAACACTGACATTTTGACTCATATCAAAAGTCAAAATTCTCCAAAAATGAGTCAGTGTGATCTCAGGAGGAAACTAAGGTTTTCAGCAGTGTGTCATAATGTGATCAGCTGCCAGGAACTGTTGGCACATGTTAGGGAACAACAACTCAGGTTTGACAACAGTGTCAACAAAGCATCAACAAATCAAAATGTATATCCTCCAAGTAAAGCTTAATTCCTGTCACAGCCAACACATATATGTCATGTTACAGTGTATTTACGGTGGAGGATGTTTGACTGGGGAACGTGGACGCAATCAAATCCAACATATTTCTCATCGTTTAAAACAGTTTATTAATTAGTTGTTGCTAGTTGTCGCTTGCACTTAGTGTAGTGAACCATCAGGGAGACGCTGTGCCTGATGCCGTTTTTTTACATTTATTGATACTGACTGACACACACAATATTAATCATAAATTTGAGTAGAATATTATGTCGATTAGACTACACCAGAGTCAACATACTGGCTAAAATGCAGCCCCAGATTCTAACAGAGCCTTCTCCATGCTTTACAGAAATTTCCCAATGTGTTAAGACACACTACAGCCGATGTTTTCAATCACTGGTCCGTGGGCCACATGAAGCCCAGAAAAAAAATTGTAGTGTCTCAGTCACTTTTTTGAGAAACCTGAAGAGAACACAACTAGAGAGTAATCCAAAGTTTCTACAGTAGAACAGAGTACTACTGTAGGACGAATACTTTTCAATACATGTACAGTATGTGTCTAAAACTGGTCCAAAAGTTAAAAAGACCATAATTATAAAGGGCTAAGTTTATCATTTCACTTTGTGTACCAGATCTTTAATGGTAAAATCATAACGCTGCAGTTGTCGAAGACCTCATTTGACTGTAAATGTTCTTCAGCAGACTCTCTTTTCAAAACGTGCTACAGATTGGTTCAGCAATTTTGGAAATGTCAAAAGTATGATTTCCAAAGCACCAACAGGAAGTAAAATTTACGGTTTCATTTTGACAATCCCATAATCTGTACGTGAATTTGTGCTTATTTCCTATTTCTGACAGTACAGACCTGTGTGTCCTGACACGTCCTTGTTTCAGCTACTGATCTGAATCACAGACTGAAGCCACGGATCTGTGGCCTGTCTGTAGAAGAACCCTCTAACTCCCACTTCAAATAAAATAACGACGGATGAACTGAGAAACACACACTGCACCAGATACAGGCCTCGAACCTGAAATGTTTTATCATTCCAATTCTGCCGGAAAAGTGGAGAGAAGCAGCTGACTGAGGGGAATAATGATGAGGAGACAGTGATGTGTTTTCCTGGCAAGCCGGAATTTGAAGTGAGGCCATAAATATGCTTTGTTGTAAAAATAGGCTCATCTTCCCAAGGGAAGTGATGACGTCTGCAGCCTGCCTGCATCACCAACCACAAGTCAACTCCGTCCTCGTTAACACTGAAGGCAGCAGGCGCAGCAGAGAGACGGAGTGTGGGGGAGCATCAGGGATCACCATGGCAACACTGAGCAATGACGTGTGACTGAGTGACGGTAGGAGAAGGGAAGAGGGCCGATTGGCTGGACACGGGCGTGCATGTGAGAGGCAGAAACGTGTAGGTGGTAAAGAAATGGAGGAAGACTTGGCAACACGGTACTGAGAATACCCCCCCCCCCCCCCACTACACACACACACACACACACACACACACTTACACATCAATCACAGCGACTTCAGACCAAATTCAACTGAATTAATAATACATTCAGTTTCATGTTGCGGTAAAAAACAAATTTTAATCAAAACAAAAGAATTAGATTAACACTTCATTAATTCAATACTGACGTTTCAAATCAAAGTATACAAATTTACCTCATACATCGGTTTTTAAGGTCATTTAAATAAACTGACGGTCATTAATCTGTATCTGTAAAAAATCGCCTTCCTTCAATATTTGATATTTTAATACTGCTTTGAGTTATTCTGTGGTTTCCCGTAGGAAATATTGTATCTAGTCGCAGATACAGTACAAGCAAAAAAAAAAAAAAAAAAACGACCACCATTATAAGGAGGCCCGACGTTTTGACTAAAAGCACAACAGTGCCACCCGCTGGACAACCATGCAGAAGACACGTGCGGAGCAGATCATTCAAACAGTACAATAGAAGATACGGACGGATAAGGTGTATTTTTGACTTAAATGTACAAATTTGTTTAGATTTTAAATATAATTTAATACAATGGAAATGCTTTAACAAAAGTTGTTTTATTCTCATGCAAATAAACAAGGTGTTTTGTTACAAAAAGTCCAACAGACTTGACAAATGTTGGAACATTTGACATGATTTTTTTTTTGTTACTATCAAAGACTCATCTGAGCAGAGGTGAACAACATCAGAGGAAGGATCCACATCTGGAGACGGTGTGTTTGCTGTTAACCTCATTTAATGTACAGCAACACAAAGAGTTGAAAACATGAGTTTTATCACAAACAGCAAAGGAATAAAAAGCTAATTAACACATAAAACATATTACAGAGGGCGCTGTTGCTTTGTCAGACAAAACCATGTAAAAAGATGAGGGGAAAAACAAAACAAAACCAAGAGCCTCATTCCAGTGTACCAAATGAAGACAAGCCATTTGTTGAAGCATTAAATAGGTGTGTGGTAAATGAACACAAGTCTCTGAGCTCTGCTGAATAAGCTGGCTGATAAAGATACTTAAAAAATAATAAAAATTAGTGCACAGCTTTTATTAAACCCTCCTACTGTGACGTCTGCAATGACCAGTCGTGACAGAGATTTAAACACAAGAAAACACCTTTTTCTTCATGAAGTAAAGGATAAAAAACAAAAACGTCTGTAAATAAAAAGAAGTGCTGCCGATGAGCCTGTGTTTTCTGTCAGTGCTGGTTCTTCATCCCCTGGGGTTTGCCTGGTTTCTTATCCTGCTGTTGCTGGCCCCGGCCAGCTCCACCCATGCCTCGCCCACGACCACCAAACACACCTGCAGTGGCACAATTAGGATTGATAAAAACATATGTAACAAATCTAGACCAGAAAGATTCTCTAGGAAAGTGTGTACCAGCAGAGAAGGAACATAAACAACAGATGACCCTGGTCAGCAGGGAACATTTTTCCCTCACCTCTGCCAATGCCTCCCCTTCCTTTGCCCTGCTGTTTGTTTTGCTGAGCGCCACCACGACCACGTCCCTTTGACAACACCTCCTCCTTTACCATATCAATGATCTCATCCGGGATTCGCAAATACTTGATGGTGCTGCCTCTGATGTAACACTCGGGCATCCTCCAGAATTTATCTCCATCCTGTTAGAAAGTTAAAAAAAAAGTCAGAACATGCAAAACTAAAATCATATCCTGTCCTGTGTGCATGTAATTATATCTATCTTTGGTAAAAGTATAGAGAACCATGGTCTACCCTGGAGGTGCAGATGACTTCTCTCAGGTTTATGTTCATCCAGTTGTCACAGCTGACTAAGTGACCGTTATACGTCTCTCCATTCTTCAGTTCCACCAGCTGTTAATACAGATGTAAACGTTGTTAACAATGTGCATGATTTTCAAACCTAAAGCAATTGTACGTCAGAAGAAAAACTGTTTGATATGTATTTACTCATTTGTATGCTAAAATATAAACAACACATTTGCCAAAGCAGAAGAAGCTGTGTCTCCTCACCATAGGATGATTTTGGGCAGTCTTTAACAGAGATAAGGGAAGCTGTAAAAATAATTGCAAAGAATTACAATTACAAACAAGAATCAACTTGATATTAAGATATGTTTCAAATAGAGAACATTGTAAAATCTAACTTTATTTAAATGTTAGGATTAATATTTGACATAGCATGCTTATAGTTTTTTTTAATCCAACAATATCCTGTAGTATTCAACCATTACTCTTGCCCACCCCCCAAAAAGCAGGTAATTGTTGTAGTTTGTTTTTCTTCTCTTCCTAGCTGAGTGCAAATTAACTTTGCTGATCCAAGCTAACTTTTGAAGGAAAGTGTTAGGTATTTACTTTTTACCATCTTATTGTACTACAAGTGCTATGCAAAGTGAGCAGTTACTGATAAAACACCACTGTGCTTGTAAAACTTAGTCATTGTGCAAGATCAGTACCAAGAAGTGTTTATATGTGAAGGAAATACCTTTTTTTCCTCTTCAAATGCCTTCCTTAAAGTCCTTCAAGTCTCTGCTGCATTCCAAACCTCAGCCGTGGGAGGATTTCGGGTAACTTCAATTGAGATAATTGTCGGAACCACTGTCTCCTGGGATATTTTATAAAACTAACCCAATTTCACGTAGACTACAAATTATAACAATTAGAATGAACGTTTCAACGTCTTGTTAGAAACTGCTTCACGTTGCACAGCACTTGCAATAATATTTTGAGCATAATGAAATATAAAAGAGCACACTCATGTTTGAAAGTCAAGTCATGTTTGAAAACAAGGATGTGATGGACAGCTCAATGTATGTTTTGTTCTTTCTGTATATTATTGAGAATTTCCGAGACCCCAAAAAAGAACCCACATTTTGAAAACCGGCTTGTTTATTCTTGCCTTGGATATAGGTATTGCATCTTATTTTTAGAAAGAAAACTTTAAAATACCTGTTACAGGTGATTTGTTCTATTACTAAACCGCGCCAAAGCAGCATATTCAAACACTGATTCCGACGAGCATTTGTTAAAGCTGCATTTTCATGTTAGCCTTATTAGCCTAGCATTGTAACATAGTTAAGTACTATAAAAGCCCACTGGTTTATCATTGAAAGAAATATAAAAAACAAGAAGACAATTGTAAACGTTGCGGGTTCTAAAAAAGCTCAAGTACTCACCATTGTGGAAATAGACGAGTTTTGTCTGCGGTGTTTAAACACGATTGTTGCCTCCTATTGCTCTTCTCTTCTCTTCTTCGGTTCAAACGTGTTTCCGGCAAAGTAATATTCGTAGTGAAACCTGGTGCCACCTACAGTCAAATAGTGGCAGCTCTGTTTGTTTTAATTAAAACGTAAATTGTCAAACGCCGCATCGTTTGGGATACAGTAGGAGTAATAAAAAAAGTACAAACATAACACACACACTGTAACAGCAATGTTATGATAGTCTTTCAAAGGTACAGGGAAGCAGCGCTGTCACAATTTAGGAAACAAGCTTGTGACGCGACGCTGACGTAATAATAATGCGACCGATGAGATAACACACGAGGACAGTTCGAGCTTTAGACTACAACAAAGTTGGGATAATTTCGCCTATTGGTCTTCTAGAGCAGTAACAAACACGCGTTTTTAACCCCGACAGAGAACGTCTATGCCACCATGTCTGACTTTTCATCGCTGGGTCTGTCGGACTGGCTGATAAAACAGTGTCAACAGCTGGGAATCAGCAAACCCACTCCTGTACAACAGAACTGTGTGCCTGCAATTCTGGAAGGTAAGTCATAATACGTGCCTGCAATTCTGGAAGGTAAGTCATAACATGTATTGTCGTTGACTGCGTGAAATGCCAGTCCATATTCAGGTCTACATCTAATCTCTTTCTACATTTATCGTTTCACATCGTTAAACGTAATGAAAAATCGTCATAACATTTATTTTTCGTTGCATTTCTCATTAAAAAAAATCCAAGCGGTAATAATTTAATGTAATTATTGGCCAAAATGAACAATAATCTCTTAAAACTGTAGTTACAAGGTCCGGCCACACGCTCCTTGTATGATTGGATTAGTTTTTGTATTATTTCTGTTTTTGTGGTAATGTTTAGTTAGACCTGGATACAGAGAAAACAAATACATTACTCTTTTTTTAACACAGGTCGAGACTGTTTGGGCTGTGCCAAAACAGGAAGTGGAAAAACAGCAGCGTTTGTGCTGCCGGTGCTGCAGAAACTCTCCGAGGATCCGTATGGAATTTTCTGCCTGGTACTCACTCCCACCAGGTCAGTGCGGTGCAGCAACAAGTTCATAGGAAAGTTTGCCTTAAGTTTTTTTTTAGCCTAGATGATAAGATAAATGTGATGTCATGCAGGGAGCTGGCCTATCAGATTGCTGAGCAATTTCGAGTCCTGGGGAAGCCCCTGGGTCTGAGGGACTGCATCGTTGTTGGTGGAATGGGTGAGAACATCCTTTTCTTTACTATCTATGATCTTCACTGACATCAACCAGGCTTGAAGCTGCACTGACAGAGATGTTTGCTGTTTTTGACAGATATGGTGGCCCAGGCCCTGGAACTTTCCAAGCAGCCTCACATTGTTGTAGGGACTCCAGGTCGATTGGCCGATCACATTCGCAGCTCCAACACTTTCAGCATGAGCAGGATTCAGTTCTTGGTGGGTTTTTAAGGTTTTCCCATGTCTAGAAAATACTCATAGATTGTAGCTTTTTATATTGGAATGTCGCACATCTTTATGTAAGTCAAGAAAATAGATGGAGATTATTTCAGAATCAGAAATTACTTTACAAAGTGAAAGAAGGTGGTTAGTTCAATCCTTTCGAAATGTAATTTGTCAAGATTTTATTTTGGAGCAACAGGGGCCGGTGGAGCCTCAGAATCTCCACTTGGGAGGTGGTTAGTTCAATCCTTTCGAAATGTATGTCTCAGAATCTCCACTTGTTCAAAGGGAGGGTGGTGGGGGATTGACCAAAAAAGTTTGAAAAACACTGCTTTAATGTTTCCTTGCGTTTGTCGTTCAGATTTTAGATGAGGCCGACCGACTGTTGGAACAGGGCTGCACCGACTTCACCAAAGACCTGGAGGAAATCCTTGGGATTTTACCCGCCAAACGACAGACGCTGCTGTTCAGTGCCACACTCACAGACACACTGCAGGAGCTGAAGAACATCGCCATGAACAAGCCTTTCTTCTGGGAGAGCAAGTCTGAGTGAGTAACATGCTGCATTTGGGCTTTTTTGTTTTTTTTAAACAAAGGTAATCGTTATATATTTTTCTCCAGAACACGAACAGTGGAGGAGCTGGACCAACGGTACATCCTGACCCCAGAGAAGGTGAAGGACGCCTACCTGGTCCATCTGATCCAGACGTTCACTGATGAACATGACGACTGGTCCATTATCATCTTCACCAACACATGCAAGTAAGAACAGGAGAAGAAGTTCAGATGTGTAAGAACAGGAGAAGAAGTTCAGATGTTTAGAAATACATAATAATATATTTATTGTTGTACAAGTAAACATAACAAAACAAAGTACATTTTTGGTTGATGATTATTTTTGTTACTTTTTTAGAACATGTCAAATCCTCACCATGATGCTGAGGGAATTGAACTTCCCGACCATCTCCCTGCATTCCATGATGAAACAGGTAAAAATATATGTGAAAATAAAGTTCATAAAACAACAAGAGTTGTGTTGAGGTAATGTTGGAGAGAAAACGTTAGCCTTGATAAATGATGATCACAGACTAAACCTCTCTTTCTGTGCAGAAACAAAGATTTGCAAACCTCGCCAAGTTCAAGGCCAGTGTCTACAAAATCCTGATCGCCACAGACGTGGCTGCGAGGTGAGAAACTTCACCGAGCTACCTGGCTTCAAAATCATTTGACTTAAGAAAATTCCTGAAAAAAAAAAAAACAGCCTGAAAGTTGTCATACAGATTTGTCACTTCTGACCAACAGGGGTTTGGATATTCCAGCTGTCCAGGTCGTCATCAACCACAACACACCTGGTCTTTCCAAGATCTACATCCACAGAGTCGGACGAACGGCCAGAGCAGGTGGAGTGGACTCACAGATCACTCTGTTCGAGTGAATTAGTTTTAAGATGAGCTTTAAGATTGGGTTTTAGGTTGGGCTGCCCAAATGACAAAATTAACTGACTGATTTATCGATTAATTGTGATTAATCATGCCCAAATGACAAAATTAACTGACTGAGTTATCGATTAATTGAGTTCAAATTCTAATTAGTTGACAGAGCTAGTTTGAAGTGAAAGCTGCACTTACATGACCTGACTGTGTGTTTCTCTGCAGGGAGGAGCGGAGTGTCCATCACACTAGTGACGCAGTACGACATCCACCTAGTCCACTCCATAGAAGAACAGATTCGTAAGTCATACGGACACAAAAAAAAACAGGTTAATAATTTCAGGAAGAAACGTCTGATATTTAAAATAAACCTATTTGTTTATTTGGGCCTGTGGTTATAATTATACTGAAGCTGTAGGTTAGGATGTTTGACCTTCCTGATTACGATGTCCAGGTGGAGGGCAGGGTTGTCAGGTGGTGTTTGTCTGTGAATGTCTGATAAAACCTGAACTACAGCTCTTGTGTTTCCACAGAAACAAAGCTGAAAGAATATCCGGTGAAGGAGAAGGAAGTCCTGAAGATCTTAACCCAGGTCAACGTCACCCGACGAGAGTGCGAAATAGTACGGACGCCTTTTTTTATTCTTCTGTTGTTTGAGGATCAATCTGTGTCTGTTTAAGACTGTGTGAAGAGTGTTGCTCTTTGTTACCGTGGTGACAAATGTCAAAACTTAAACCTGTTTGTGTTGTTTGTAGAAGCTGGAGTCGACCGACTTCGACGAGAAACGGGAGATCAACAAGAGGAAACAGATGATCTTAGAGGGAAAGGCAAGTTGGGTTCTCCTAAAAATTAAACATTGACATCATTTTTATCAAATCAAGTTGAAGCATCATCTAAAATAAATTATGTTGAATTAAGTGTTATAAATAAGGTGGAAAAGTTCATTCTGTGTGGTTTTACATTTTTGATCCCCAACATAAGAACTTTGTCCAACTAAAACATCCAACCCTCGGTTCTACGTTCCTGACGTGTTTTTCCTGAACTTTTCCAGGATCCAGACCTGGAGGCCAAGAGGAAGGCTGAACTGGAGAAGATCAAGAGCCAGAAGAAGAGGTTCAAACAGAAAATCCAGGAGACCATTGAGAGACAGAAACGTGGACAGTTGAAAAAGAAACTGAAGAAGAGAAAAGAAATGAAAAAGAAAAAATCTGCTGAGGCAGCAGCGTCGTCAACATCGTGAAGCAGCAGCCAAAACAAATGTACATACAAGTCTGATTATACTGTGCAATAGCTAATATTTTTTCTCTTTTTGTCAGTGTGAGCACATACATGAATAAAATAAGAACAAGCCGATAACTCGACAGCCTTTATTGATTTAAGTGTAACAAGGGAACCATGGTGTGGTGATGAAGTGTCACTGCAAATGAGATCCACTGTGTCAAACAGGTATTTACATCTAACCTTACGATGCAGAGAATCAAGTCTCGGATGCAAACGTGTCAAACAGATCACAACTGAAACACTTCCTGAATGATTAGCGATGGCTCAGGTGGGGGAAACAATAGAATCCGATAATAAAAAAAAGTTTTTAAAGCTCTAACATGAAAAGTGAAAAAGAATTCATCGCCTGATGTCAAAGCAAAAGCAGGGCTACTTCTAAGTGGATTAAACACCGACGTCTACTCACAACATGATTGTCACGTGTCTGCTGAAATGGGAAGCAGCTGAGAAAGGATAATGGAGTACATTCTTACCGTGTTCAAAAAGCATTTCTGTTCGTTCTTTTTTTTTTTCTTTACAGGAGAAGTTAAAAAACTAGGCATCCTCAGAGAGTCCGAGGAAGCGATAGAAAACTAAGGAAAGGAAACGGCCAACGACTCATTCCTGTTTCCTGCAAGTTGTTACAAAAATAATCAAAATGACAGAAGAAAAACAACCTCTAAATGACCCCAACAGAACAGAACAGCACGAAAGAACACAGCAGCAAATCAGAAACAATAGCAGAGTTAGGGATAACTTTAGGGTTCTCAGTTCACCAGTTACAGGTTCAATAATTACAAACAAGAGCTCTACGAGGATATATATCTAAATATATATGTATAATTAAGGTAAGGCGGCACAAATCGAAAAGTCCGCAGAAGAAATTCATCCAGCTTTTTTTTTTAAAAGGAAGGTGGCTTTTTACCTCATCTTTAACACAAGACTCTGACCTCTTTAACTGACCCTGATTTCAATACAAAAATAATAATGACTTCTGTGGGGGTGGGAGGGCTGTTATCAATGAGGTTTCAACTTTTCAATTTCATTCACTTGTGTACTGCGTTTTTAAGGGAATCTAGTCACAGACTGATGCAGATTTTTTTTCTCTTTTGGTTGATCAGTGCAGATAACCCTTTATTCTCATTAAACTGAGATCAAGTTCATATAAAGAATGTCCAGTGAGGTGATCTGCTGCAGGGTCCAACACTCAGTGATTTTGTTAGCTCACCAAGTAGTATTTTATAAAAGATGGTCTCTTTTTCACCAAGTAGTATTTTATAAAAGATGGTAGTTTGCACAAAATATCACAACAAATACTATGCAACATGAAAGGTTTTCGTAAGACAAACTAGTGAGGGATCAGTAGGACTTGGTACAGATAATCACCTACCTGTTTTCCCTCAGCACTAGTGGCGCATGTTGCATAGCACTTAATATTATTTTGAACACTTTAGGATCTTGAAAGCACCGTCTCACCACCTCCCCCCAAAGGTTTACTTTGGAACTGCAAATGGCAACAAAAAGGCCAGCCAGCTTAGACCAGTTTCTTCCAAAGTGGGAGACCGGTTCCCCCCTAAGGGGAGATAGAGATTTTAGTAGTCAATTAAATAATTCAACCACAATGGGAAATCTGCACTCAGTTATGTGAGAATTCCAGTATTAAGTAACTGGACAATATTCTGGGACGTCAGATCTGAGAGCTTTGTGTTAAAAACTCTATTCTAGGCTATTGGTCACCACTGACACCTTCTCAGCATGTGACCATTGGAAAATGGAAAAGTTACACAACACACACACACACATCCATCTGAGGTCAGAACTGCCCCACAGGCCTTTTCTAGATGTGAAAACTCCCACACACCTGCCCTTCCTCTGCCACCTTCCTCCTCCTCCTCTTCCAACCCTTGGTGGACTGAATGGCTCAATAACCACCACGCCCACTGACTCCATCATGTTTGTTTGGTTTCTTCTATCTTGAATAGTGACTTGTGTGATTTGAGTGGACTAAGAAATTGATACAAAGCAGTCAAGCAAATCAAAGCAGGGACAAAAAAAACAAAACAACAAAAAAACAAACCCCGTCTGGTCACGATGCACGGCCAGACGTCACCAACACCTGCTTTAAAAAGGTTAAAATAAAGAAAAGCCTTCACTGAAACATCAGATGACGCCAAGTTGAATATTCAATGCTGGTCATATTTGATAGTTTCAATAACTTGTTTTTTTTTTTTTGTTTTTTTTTTTCAATTTTGTGCTCTGTAATAAGAAAAGAACATCAGAGAAGAAAACATGTCCCGTGATCATCACGATTTTGGTGGGACTTGCACCTCATGCCTTGGAGAAAAAAAAAAAAAAAAGTCTGAAATTCCTGTGCCACTGCACCACAGACGTGTGGTTGAAACCACCTTAGTATAAAGACCTTGTAAAGAGCCGGCGGCTCTCAAGGCTAGAGAATGGTACTTCAAGTCCAGGCTCTTTCATGTCAGACTCACATCAGCACAGAAACCATGTTTGTGTTTCCTCTTTAAGATGGTGTGGACCGTTGCTTCTCTCAGAGGCTGCTCTCAGCTTTTTGGGCCCAGTAAAGCAGTGTTGGTACCGATCTCCTCCTTACGATTGGCCTAATTTTTAAAACAGCCCGGGACATCACACAGGTTGAGCAACCAACCAGCTTTGACCATGGGGAATTATTGTCGCCTCGTCAGAGGCTTTCTGTTGCCATGTCAATCCAGGTTCAGAGAACTAGTTCTTCACGTTCGGTTGGAAGGCTACGATCCTCCATTCTCTGAAGATGAGCGCAAGAACTTCTAGAGTTCTCCTTCATCTCCTGGAGGCTTCGAGGGAAAAGGGGATGGATGGATTATTTTGTTAGGAGTTGCGCCTCATTTGGATTCCCATGAAAGACCATTGAGATCTCTCCTGTTTCCCTCAGCAGCTGGACCACACGCCGCCGTCTCTTTTGACTTCCCTCCTCCACTCTGCACGGGCACCGGCTCTCGCCTCCCGCCTGTTCACTCGGCCTCTCCTGCCACCTCCCTGCCCGTCTCTTCGTGCCCTTCTCTCCTTCTTCTTCTACCCTCTCATTTCTCTCGCTGGTCGTTTGTTTGGTTTCGCTATCCCGTCGCGTTCACTCGGTGGTGCTTCGGTTGTAGCAGAGGAAAACAGGTATCCATTTTATGTTTTTATTATTTCCCAGATTAAAAAGCAGATGAACTAAGCTCAGCTCAAGCCTAGCTCCCTTCTTCAGGCATCCTGTGAGACACAGAGCAGGGGGGAAAAAAAATCACTTCCTGGACAAAGAATGTTTTCTCAATCAGCTTGTGTCAAACCAGAGCATTTACATATTAATAATTCCATCGTTTTGGATAAGATAATAATAATAAAAACAGGTGTGAAACACAAACATCAGGGCTGCTGTTGTTAGTCTGTTCCACTGTGATACATTTTGTTATATCTCAAACTTACACTTTAATACTGTGACAGTCCAGTTACCCCGCCATGCTGGTATGCACGTTCACCCTGGTAAGTCGAGTCCTGGGACAAAGCCACATCAATTTGGGACTTGAACTCATCACCCAAGTAGCTGTCCTAAAGGGAGAAAGACGAAACACACCTTGAGTTCATGTCCTGTATTTAGCGCAGCAGTCATTACTACAGTCAGTCATTAAATACTTCAATAACTTTTGTCATACCTGGGAGAGCTCTGGCTGGGAGAGGCCAGGCTGGCTCATCTGAGAGGGCTGACTCATGGAGATGTAGCCTTGTGTGAGTGGTCCCTGTGAGAAGTTCTGTGATGGTCCGTCCTGACTGGCCTGGCTGTTTGGTCCATTACCCTGACTGCTGGCTTGGTTCCCACGCACCTTCTGGCGTCCGCCTCGACCGGGTTTGCCCTTCATGGCTCCTCGACCTTCATAAAGGAAGGAAAACAAAAGGATTAGAGTCGAGTCCATCTAGACTGTTCATGTCTATTTCAGTGGTTCTGTGGGTTTTTTTTTTTTTACCTGCAGCTGGACCGTTGGTCTGACCCAGGTAGCTGGGTGGAGGCATTGGAGGCATCACCAGATTAAAGGGTATGGGGATATTCATGGCAGCCATGTGACTGGGGCCTGTCCCAATCATCCCAATCTGGTCGTGAGTTTGGAAGTACATGTTGGATGGACGCCCGGCTGAAAGAACAGAGGCTGCTGTGAATACAGTAATTTTCTTTTTAAAGAGTCAAATGGGAAAGGATACGAAACAGTAAAAATGTACCAGCGTTGCTGCGGTCGTAAGCAGAGCCGGGGATGAGAACCTCACGAGCGTCGTACATCGCGGTGCTCATAAAGCGACCGCCCTGGAAAAGACCACGTACGACCATTTAGAAGTGCAATAGACATTAGAGCTGGCAGGCGGCTGTCACTGATGTTGTACTCACAGGGTTGATGGTGTTGACCAACTTGCGTGGTTTACTGAACTGCATCAGACTCTCCCTCAGGTTGTTGAGGGGCCCCTCCACCAGGACCTTCTGCTCCTTGTAGTTGTTCAGGAGGTTGTTCCACAGAGGTTGCTTAGAGAGAGCTTTGGGGTTCCCCACAATTATAACACCGTACCTAATATTCACAGAAGAAACATGTATTACACAGTTGCACTATGGGTGTTCGATCATTACAAACATACAATATCTATCTGTCTGTAATGGTTTTGAGCCTAAAACACAACAAAGGCTGTTTATATAGCAGCTTTACTTGGCTCTGGTCAGCGCCACATTCAGACGGCGAGGGTCATTCAGGAAGCCGATGCCCTGATGCTCGTTGGCACGGACACAAGAAAGGATGATGAAGTCCTTCTCTCTGCCCTGGAAAGCGTCCACACTAGCAATTTCCACTTGCTGCAGAGGAAACAATGAGGAAGCGGAAAAGACATTGTTTTAAAACAAGTTCATCTCAGGAAACCTCTTAACCCAGTGTCACGTTCCCAATGTCCTCGTTCACACCTGCATCACCACATTAAAAGTCAGGATTTTCACTGTTTATTTGTGTAGTACCTGGTATAGTTTGGTGTGCAGGGAGCCACTGAACTGCATGTACTGGACCAGGTAAGAGCGCTGGCCCTCATATGGTGTGATGATGCCGATTTGGTCTGGTTTGGCTCCGGCCTTCAGCAGCCTGGTGGTGATCTTCTCCACGTTTGCAGCCTCCGTCCTGTAAAACATTTGCAGAGAGAATTAACAAACAGAACAAAAAGTCAAAGCCGTGCAGGACATTACACTACTTGTTACGATTGTTCCTTTTATACCACAGTAAATATTATAGCTAATTCTGCACACATGTTGCTTTTTGACATAAGGGGCCTCAGTTTCTTCACATAAAATTTCACTATCGCTGCATATAAAAACACCCACTGAACTTAACAATAGAGTGCATCTTATACATGGTGCGCCATTGTTTTCCATGAAATACCACTGATATTACTTTGTTTGTTTGTTTCAGGCCTAACAAACTAGATTTGTTGAGACAGTGACAAAAATCACCTGTTGAGGTAGGAGGTTCCAGAGCTGGCAATTTCCTCTTGGCCTTGTGTTACGTAGAAGAACATGGGCTTGTCAGGCTGTGGCCACTGGAAGTCAAAGCCCTTTTTGATGCGGTCAGCTGGAAATGAAACAAAGTGTTTACTGGCCAGAAGGGTTTATAGAATTGTGGTGCCACACAAGATGAAATAATGAAAGACACACAGTACCTGCGGTGACTCCGTTCTGCAGGGAGCCCTCGTAGAAGATGTTGGATGGGAAGGCACTGAGGGCGGGGTGCATGCGGTACTGCACCTGCAGACGGATGGGTCGGATACCCAGGACCACCAGGCGTTCAAAGAGGGACTGGGAAAGACCAGCCTTAGCTGCCTTCTTACACATGACCACAGGCCCCAGCTGACAGTGGTCACCCACCAGAATGAGCTAAGGGGGAGAAGAGTGTCACAAGTGAGTGGCTGAGGGGCTAATGAGAAAGGTTGTTATTGTTTCAACATCATTTAAAACAGTGGTCCAAAAACCAGAGCCTGTTACTGGTTCCTAGACTGATGGTTGTGAATCCCTGTCTAAATATATACATACTGTTAACATTTTTGAGCAGAATTTCCAAACATTTTGTGTTCACCTGTTTGGCTCCCAGCACCACGGGCACCATACACTCTGGCTCAGTGGCCTGGGTGCTCTCATCAATCAGAATGGAGCGGAATTGCATCTTGGCCAGTCGTGGGTCTCCAGCTCCAACACAGGTGCAGCAGATGACATCAGCGTTCTTGACAATTAAGAAGGAAATTTATTAATTTCACATTTTGTTTTTATGATTTAAGAAAAAAAAAGTTTGTCAGATCAGTAATGACGTATATGAGTTGCTCCAATACCAACATTTATTAGCACTGTAAACCTTCAATGATTAAAAAGGAAAACGCAGTCAATTTTATGTTATAGCCCAGAGCCACAAAAAACTTTTGCCCTGTAATTGTAACCTTCACAGTTCCACCTCGGGAACACTAACACAGTCCTCACCATCAGCAGCTCTCTCTCTGCAGTGCGTTTCAAAGCCCTGTAGCGTTTCTCATCAGCTGAAGACAGTTCACCCGTCTCATCCTTCAGCTGCTGCAGCTTCTGAAGCTCAGGCATACTGGAGCGACAGAGACAGAGACAGGGCAGGATTAGTGTTGTGCCGCTACATGAACTCAAACAAAAGTGCGTCTCAGCTTTGGACAACTTTATTTCTCCTCGTACGACTGACCTGTCCATGTTGCTGATCTGATTGTGAAGAGCCAAAAATGACACTGGGGACTCGATGGCTTCACGACTCTTGGCGCAAAGTCTGACAACCTTAAGCCCAGTCTTGTCAATCTTCTCAGTCAACTGATCCACAGCGATGTTACTGGGAGCACACACCAACACTGGGCTGCAGGAAACAGACACCAGAACGTTAATGGATCATCTTTTAAAACTGGCAAAAATAAAATCGACAGTATAATTAAATACTTAAAAACGATCTTACCCATTGCCCTGTCGGGACAAGTGGTAGACAATAGTAGCAGACGTGACAGTCTTGCCAGTACCAGGAGGACCCTGGATCAGACTGAGAGGCCTCTGCAGCACCGTCTTCACAGCATACACCTGGTAACACAGAAATACAAGGTGGTCAAAAAAAAAGCACATTAAAAATTAAACCTTCACAAAATATTTGCCTAACCGCAGTTAGGTTAGTGAGGTCTGACCTGTGAGTGATTGAGGTCAGGCAGACCCGGGGCAGTGAAGCGTTTAGGGAGCTGGCACTTTATAGTAACATCCTCCACCTCGTGGCCCAGCAGTTTGTGGTAAATGTAGCCAGACACGGAGGTCTCGTCAACAGCAAACGTCTTCAGGGCACTCTGCATCCTGAAGCAACACAAACACAAAAAAACGTCTTCAGGGCACTCTGCATCCTGCAGCAACACAAACGTCAGCCATTAAAAAAGACCTAAACATTTCATTGCATTCTTGGACAAATACTACTACTAAATATTTTTTTTTATTATTAAAAGTTGATTCCACAAAAACATACCTGTCAAAGGAGGTGGACTTCCACACAAAGTCTACCTGGAAGTTATGAGGAATTTCCACAGGTGCTCCAACACTGCTCCGCAACTCAATTGCAATTTCATCACCATAATCTTGAAAACACGTGTTGTTAAAGAACATTACTTGTAAAGTGGGATCACTAAAGGTAAAGTTAAGCGGGGAAACACGTGTAGCCTTTTTTAAAACTAGGCTCAAACTAGGTTTCTTTAGACCTCATGATCAATAAAAATGTATTATTGCCAGTGATGCCATCATTGTCCTAGGAAAACACTTTGGCCCCTAGTTTACAGTAGCCATAAACCAAACATTACACTGACATGTGTTAGCACCTGTGTTAACACATACAGAAATCTACACCACAATTGGTTGATGATAAAAGATACTGTCTGGGACTTTGATGACGTGGCCGATGCCTTTCCACAGTGGAGCCAGATCTCCCTTGTATCGCAGGCAGATTTCATCACCCTGCATTAGACGCATGTCTGAAAAAGATAAGTGATATTTTTTCACAATAGGATTTTTTGTTTTTAAAGAAAAAAAACCCCATTATGTTCAAGACATAACCAGAAATGATACCTGAATCAGTCTTGGGCAGAGTGAAATAAGCAATCCGCTTCTTATTCAAACCCAGGTCCCATCTGACAGTTATATTGTCCTGGGTCTGAGAAAATGAACATAACAACGATATTGTTAATCATTTATCTCAAGGAAAAAAAACAACAACAAAAGCATGGTTAAAAAAAACAATGGAAAACATTTTTAACCATTTTACACAACAAAACCCTACATTTAAGAAACAGTGCTCAATACCTGGGATTCTTTCAGCTTCTTGTCGTAGTCAGCCTCCAGTTTGACCAGAGGACCAAAGATATTCTGGTACTGGTAGGCGTCTTCGTAGCGCAGCAGCACATGTTGAGGTTCCTCATCCACACCGGGCTTTTCTAGATCTTCTAGTGTCGCTGTGGGATTGTCCTGTGAGCAAAAACAGAACAATCATTAAATCAAGTTTCAAGGGGAGAGAGCGAAACGCCCCCTGCTGGACCACTTTCATTGATGCACCTCGGTTTATGTCATAACATTTCCTCTACAGTCAGGTAAATACCTTCCAGAGCTCCTCTAACTTGTTGATCTGCTGAGCAGTGATCTGACGAGCTCGAAGCTGCTCCTGCTCTGATGGAATCTTCACCAGCCAGGACAAAAAACACCGATCCTGGATCAGTGGTTGCCACTGAGAGCTGTCCCAGTTGATGTCCTTCAGGCTGCTCTGGCTGGCACATGGCTGCCTGTATTAACACATGGTGGGAGGAGGTCAAAAAGGCTAACTTGTATTGTATGATAACTTGTGACTTTAAATGGAATAACAATAAAAAGAAAAAAGCTCAACGCTCACCAAAGATAAAAAAAACAAATCATCAAAGCCAAACACACAAACTGGATGTGTGAAGAACCAGCACTTACCTGCAGAGTAACACCACGACTGAATCCGCCTTGGCAGGGATGAAACCCAGAAGAAAGACGTTCCTGCAGCCACAGTTGTAACACTCGAGCACAGTCTCTCCCAGCGGCCCATCTTTATGCAGGGTCACTTCTTTGCATTTGGCTCTCACCAAGTGGTTCACAATGTGGCTGGAAATATGAAAATAAAAATTAAACCATTAGACCCGTGTCTACAGTTGACTGATATAGCAGACAAAAGAAATACGTCAAACTGTACTTATTACTTCCTTTTTTTAACATTTTTGCACAGAGAAAAAGACAAAGTTGGTTACACACCTGCCAGATGTGTTGCCACGTCCGTTACAGAACCATTTCTTGCTGGTGTTGCAGTACACGACACAGGCTGGATCATGGATACCACAATAGCTGAAAAATGGCACAATCTTTTTATTTTTTTTTATTTTATTTTGAACTAAAATTGAACATTCACGTTAATGAAATCTGCCACACACCTTTCTGAATATTGTACATCATATCGTCTATCATGCTGTTAAATACTGTAGTAAAACAACTAATATAAAGTATATAAAACAACTAAACAAATTAGCTAACTTATTTACCAGTACACTGACACCAGTCAGTTAAATGGACAGCACAAACAACTAAACAAATTAGCTAACTTATTATATTTACCGGTACACTGATACCAGTCAGTTAAATGCACAGCACAAAAAATGCCAAAAATCCAAGTACCTCTTATTCCGATTACTATAGGACATGACTCTCAGACATTCTTTACTGTTGACCCCACAGAGATGTCTGATAACGTGTGTGCTTTTATACCAGTTTTCATCACTGCCTGCCCTTTTCTCGTGATTGTGAAAACCAAGCAAGAGTTATTCATTACTAATCGTTTTCAAATTTAAATTTGACAATGCCATTAAGGTGGAGTTATTTTAAGTAATAATACACAAATCCCGATTCCTTTGATTTAATCTCTCTGTTTTCTCATCTTTTGAGGAGATGTTGTCTTTGTCGTTCTTGGCTGATGAAACTTTTTTAAAGCGGTAAATACTGAAAAGTTAGTAAAAAATTATCTGGTTCTGCCTGCAGCAGCGTAACAACAGATAACGTAATCTTGTAAAGTTAACATTTGACAGGTGTCTTTTAAACGATATCCATGGAGTCTCTTGATCTATATAATGTGAAAAACAAACTTGTTGCGCAACTTTTCCAAAAATAGTGTAGACTATCTGACATGAGAGGCGTCCTGGTGTGGCACGGCTGACGTACCTGCACGCGTGCACAGGTAGATCTTTGGTGTAGTACGTGTCCTCCTCATCCTCCTCAAAGTTCAGTTCTGCCAGCAACTGACTGGCTTTAGCCACGGAGTCGTCCACGCCGTTCAGGAGACCATCATCTGGACCATTGACCTGGAGCACAACACAGGCTTTACCACACCAAACAAACTGAAGCTAACCATTAGCGGCTATCCTTCGAAAGCGCGGAAAATCAGATAGAACATGAATGAATCGACAAACTGTCACTACACTCAACGCGTATTATTTGCCACATTTGTTTGCAACGGTGACTTCGAAGAGACACAATAAAACAAACGGAATCACCTGATAGGTTTAACCACACGCTATGTGGCTTGTAGCGAACGACTGGCTAACAGTTAGATGCTAACGTCCAATAATAGCGAGGTGGCAGACAAGCTAACAGCAGCTAATGCGAGCGAGTCGCAGTTTAGCGCGGCTTCCTGTTAAAATATCAACTTCTAACCTGGCCGTCCAACTGGCTCTGGGTCTGTCCTTGAGTTTGCGTCTGGCTGGGTAGAGTGAAGTCGGTAAAATCGTACTCGGAGCCCTGGGTGTCCGCTCCAAGTAGCTCTGCATCCTCGGTGTCCAAAAAGGTGAGGGTCTGGGAGCTCGGCCCGTACGCCTCCACACTCATCTTGACTCTCTACTTTCGCTTTGCTTAAAGATTCCCGATATTCGCCTCCAAATTAAATAAATCCTCCCGGTGTTGATTTCGGAATCAAATGACCAAATGCCTATTCGTAGAACGTGGATATAAACACAAAAATCGAACCGATTAGCAGCTCCAAAGAACCGTCAGGTCCAACAGAGACGGCGTCGGAGTCTCTGCGCCGCTGCTGCTGCTCAACGTGTGACGTAGGCACACGCTGTACGCAGTAGACCAGAGACCGGAATGCAAATGAAAGAGTTTTCACTCTGCTGCATTCTGCGGAAATCAAACCATATTTCCGAAGAACTTTAGGGACTAACCCAACTAAATGTACTAAAACTGTGTTCTTCAAAGCAGGACACATCAAAGGTTGACTTGAAAAAATCGAAAAAAACAAAAACACATTTGTGAGAAGAAGAAATAAAACAGTATAAAACTTACCACCATTACTAAAAGAGTCATTCACCCTTGCCTTGCCTCTAGTGAACCACCCGTGAAAGATGCACATACAGTTGTTTAAAAATAGTATTTTTTTAAAGCCAAAAATGAAAATGAACATTTTCATATTACTGATACTAGGCCTTTTGTTTATCTACATCAGTAATGGATCTGTATGGAGGCCGCCATGTTGGATTAGCATGTTTTGTTTGTTTCTTTTTTAAATGAAACACATATTTACTTTTAACTTTAACAAATTTTCAATTGAAGATCTTTGATGGACGACACCATGGAGGACACTGTCAAAGACCACCATACTGGCCTTAGCTTAGGATAAGTATTCTGGAGGTCCCTTGTCAACATTACATTAAAACAAAGATGGCTCCTTTATACAGCTAGTGAAGCAGGTCTTTTTCTTCTGTTTATGATGCTCTTCTCCTTCTTGTATCTGTTTTTATGAGGCATAAATGCAGCACTTTTTAAATGACGTCTGTAGGTGTGTTGCCATGGTTTTATTATGATTATAGTGTATACTGGAACACCACAGTTGGTTCTGAAAAATGTCAAGGTTTTTTAGGCTCCGTTTTTGCTCTTTAACATTATGCAGTATGTCTTTTATGTTACCTTTGCATAACATTCTTCAAAGTAGCATCTAATGTTATTTTACAAATGTCATTTGACAATAAACCACATTTTTGCAGAAGTGGGGCGAGTTATTCTTCGGGCTTCTCATTTTTATAAAGGAAATTTCATAGATGTTCTTGTTATACGCACTGATCCCACAGCACTTGTGGAGTACTAATGAAAGACACGAGTGAAGTGAAAAACACACAGACGTTACTTGTGATCCTTTATTTCAAAGCCTTTACTTTTACAAAGTTAAGATTACTTATTGTAAAAGTGCTTTGTTAATATCAGAGGCAGAGGACACCGTTTCACAAGTTACTCCCTAAACACAGGAACTTACAGTACATCACAGAGCCATTCTGGTATTTTGTACACCAGGGTACATTTCGAGATAAAAAAGTATTTTTGAGGTAGCCACGCAACTGACTGGACAGCACCAGTCAAATATCTTTCAACCGACCCACTGAGCGTTTTAAGGCCTTTTTTTAAGAAAAGAAAAAAGCACACAAACAACAGCAAGGCACAGGAAAGAGTCAGGGTCAGAGTTCACCTCATTAAGCACTTGTTAAGCCACACTGTAAAACATCAGCACCTGCATTTGCTATATGACAAATCTGCCCAACATTTAAAAAGTGTTCAACCACTGGGCTGACCAAAGAACCAAAAAATGAAGAGAGAGATGAAGTTAAATCTTTTGTCAGTTCACTGATATATTCATTTTCAGAGACACAGAAAGCTGAAGTTGCGTGTGGTAAATTCATAAACTTCCTCCTTGAGATTCACACGAAGTGGTGGCATGTTAGGTGGTGTGAAAAGTGCTAAATAATGACTCCTCAGCCAGAAAACCAAACAAACCTAACATTTTAACCTACAGCGGGGCGCTTACAGAAACAATAAAAATACATTTTTTTGTTTTTATCTGGTTAGAAGAAACTTTTACTTAAATGAAAATAAAGCAAAAGCGTCCTAAGAAGCAAACCACGCGTGAGGGCTGATAACTAGTGGGGAAGAGGGGGGTAAAAACATATTTCAAATTAAAGTGACAGAAAACAAAAATGTTTATAAAAGGTTATCCAAATTTTTAAAAAGTTAGATGGAAGTGTAAAATAACAAAGTGCTGCATGAATAAAAGTTGACTACAGTGGGAGTTTAAAATTAAATAAACTGTCAAGGCTACACAACTGCTGAGTGGACAAACTAACACAGTAATACGACAGAAGCTATTTGGTTTAGAGTTAATTTTTAGTCTAAGGCTATAATGCAGCCGTAGTAGAATTTTGTCAAAACTCACAACAAACGCTTCCCAAACGGCCCCGACCTGAGATCTGTGAAACAACATTGCACATCATGGGGGGGACAGATCTCAGTCCGGAGACTTTGGGATTTAAAAAAAAAAAAAAAAAAATTACTTTTAATTTGGACCAAAAAACTGTGGGGACAATGAGCTGAAACCAACCCATTTCCTGATTTAAAATCCTTTGTAAAAGAAGGTTAAATTTCACATATTCTTATAAAGAAAGGGATTCAAGAAAAAATAACAACATAAAATGCTGAAAAGAAATCTAAATGTTTAAATCTGTAGGAAACTGACATCAGCCGTTTGCTTAACATACATAAAAAAATTAGGATAGGCCTATTGACTAAACTCGCTGGATGTATGTAAGCGTTAAACATCGCCCCAAATGTGACCTCTAAACTATTTCATTAGCCCTAACCCTATAAGGTGCAATAATAGAGGTCACCTTTGGGGTCACTGTTGAAACATCTGCCAGATAACAGACTTTTACAGACTTAATAAAACAAACGTCAAAACAAAATCAAACACAGTCTCACTGCTGTGTTCAGGACTGAATTCATTACAGTAAGTTTAAAATGATGTTTCCTGTTCCTTGGAAAAGCTTACGTTACAATGTGAACCCAGGTTGACTCCCATTTTATCTTCTCACCATATCATAAATCACATTTTGCAAAGGTTAAAAGACAAAGATGGACTGGGACTGTTTTTCAGTGAAAAAAAACACATTTTAAAAAGTTGAAGGAGGTTTGGCTACTTGTGGTTAAGTGCAATTTCTCTTGTGTGGCGAGTGCTGGAGAGGCTGGTTCACATCTGGAGGTCACTTAGTGGAAGTGCTGCTGGCAGTGGATCTTATCCTCAGCCTGGTCGAGAAGCTCCAGAATTTCCTGGACAATGGCCTTGAGCGCACGACCCAGGTCTTCCCCGCTGTAAGGCTTTCCAAGAGGAGGCACGTGGACAAAGGCGGAGCGGCCGCGGCTCAGGTACAGAGAGGTGTAGTAGGTGAAATCACAGAGGTATCTGTCAGTGAGGAGGGCAGAGGTCATGTCAGGAGTAGAACATCATAGTGTGCAGGTAGTTTTTAAATACAGGTTTTGAATGAAATCAGGTGAGGAATGAACAGAACTGCAAAGTTGGAACCTGCAGAGCTTTTATAATAAACATACTGCAGAATAATGAAGATAAAAGAAGCAAACAATGTGTTGGGAGTGTGACATCTAGTGGCAGTACAGTAAAATCCTTAGTAAGTACTGAATGACCAAAGTAGTCAGAGTAGTTTAACCTTATTGGGAGTTACATACAAAGGTTTCACTGTAAAATGTAGTCAAAACCTGGGATTATAGTCCTCACAGAGCTCTACTCCATTGTAAAGAGATCCTTCACATAATCCAATTTCAAGGAGTCATGTGACAGGAAGACAGTGTCACTTGTCTAATCTCTTATCCTAGATAAGATGTCAGTTTTTATCAACAATGTTTTGCAGCTACACTGATGTTTGGTCTGTTGATTCAGTACTTATTCAGGGAAAACATTATGGGATGATATAAACACTAACACTTACACATAAAAACTAGATTCAAAATGCAGACATAAGATGAATTATTAAAGTGTTAGAAATAAAGAATAAAAAAAGAAACTCAGATGTTTGATTTAAAGTAAAAAAAAAAATATATATATATGTGTATGTACCTTCCAGCATCTTTGGAGACAGACACAGCTACACCCAGTCCAGAAGCTGTCACTCGTTTACAGACTGATTCCATGTCAATAACTGAGTCGATGCAGTCAGGGCCTCCCACAATGCAGCACTGGGAATCAGGACAGAAGCTGCTGTTGTCCAGACCTCTGTAGCCACGATTTCTGCCGCATTTCTCCAGTGTGACAGTGGTGGCCATGCCTGAGACTCCGACATGAACGACCAACTGGAAAAAGAGTTAAAAAAAAGTTAGAAGTTAGAAGCAGTAATGTGTCAGAAAATCATTTATTCATAGTAAATTCAAAGCTGCTCCTTTTGTTCCACTTCCCCTGTGTATCTCTATTTAAAATTTGTAAATGTTTTTATACCTTTAAAAAAGATATTGATAAATAAGGCTCATTTGTGAAATGATAATTTGCTTAGAAGTCTCAAAGGGGCTCGAATGGCAGCATTTGTGCTCATAAGACAATGTAATTACAGGATGAATACTATTACCCTAATTAAATTACTTGTGTTTGTGTAATTATAGAAAGACTGAAAACTGTGCTTAGAAATAACCTATAGTATAATACTCATTTCCTTACCAGTGGATGATACTGCTTCCATAATGAAGGAACCAAACTCTGCACTGTCTGGTACTCTACAGGAACCTCATACACATGAAGATCCACTTCGCTGCCCAGGCCAAGTTTCTTCAGTTCCTGAACAATTGAGAATGAAGCTAATTAGAGTCAGTGCTAGAAAAAAATGAATAAATCAAATAAATTTAATTTTCTTAATAATTCAGGATAGCGCCATCTGTCTGTAATTTATTTCTTAAATTTCTTTTGTGAAAAGTCAGTATACTTCTGCAGGGGGCCTAGTTTATCAGTGAAATGGCTCATAATAGTCAGTCTGCAGGAAAACCCTGTCAGACTGTTGAACAAAACACATCTAAAACACATCTTTTTATCATGCAGATTGCAATTTTCAAATGAAGACATAATGTAGTGTCAAGTATGTCACATTTCTTCTGCCAGAGTTAGGGTTTATCACATGTTGAAGTCAACAGCTTCAGTGAACAGAGCGGCCTGTACTGTAGTACATTTGTCAACAGACGTGTCTGTTCAAACATTTGTTTCTTGTATCCAATAAGGACTTTGGTGAATTACCAAAATATTTACCACATGGACCAGAACAGAGTTATGTCCAAGCTTTGGACTGAATTTGTCACGTGATGTGGCTAAAAAGATTAAAGTGACTGCTGCACCAAGATTCTGTGTTCAGCATTCCTGAAAATTAAAATCAAATGTAAAATCAGATTAATATTATTGAGGAAAAAGGAGCTCAGTAAAATTTTGAAAGTCACATATTTTTACATGACATTAATAACCCCGTCATTTGCATTTGTCACTAATAAATACGGTTGTGAAACACATCAAATCACCATGTATTATTTGTGTTTCTGTTCAATAGCAATATAAAGAAAAATTGCGATTATTCATGATCAATAACACTATGAAAAACACTTGAGTTCTTCACAAGATTCACTTAATAAACCAATAGGGAACAGATCAAAGATGCATTTACAGATATTATGACTAAGGAAGATTAATCTTGATCCCATACACACACAGCTGACCAACACCTCCCCCATCTCCCTGCAGGTCAAACAGCTCTGGACACTGACCCCCACTTGTGTTGAAAAGGGGTTTGTCTGACCACGTCTGTGACCTATCCACAAAGCAGCCTTTTGTTTGCCTTTAATATCCTTATCAAGTCCGTCTAGACACCCTGAAAACCACAATCGACCCCCTCACACACTCGCCCCTGCAGCACACATGGAGCCTGTGGGACAAACTGGCGTATGACATGCTAACGGTCATCATCAGAGCATTATGTATTAGCATCATCACAGCATTATGTAACATTTACAGAAGGTTTGAATACTACCAATAACAGAGCAGGTACTGTATAGGTTTGTAGTGTTGTGTACATTTTCAAAATTGTGAGGTTATCTTTGCCATTTGAATAAATGATAATACCAGAGATTGCACATGCCGATAAAAATAATACTTACCTGTACTGCTACCCAGCTGGCGTTGACAGTGTGTTCTCCAAATGGCCCAAAACCTATAAAAAATCTTATTTTAATTACTCAAATACTTCTAGTTGTTATCTATAAACTAAAATACATGCATTTTCTCGGACAAGGATCATAGCACAAACAATTTATATTTCGAGAAACAGGTATGCACCGTTTAAAATGTCAAGCTGTTTGTTTAAGCAAAATGTCACCAATTGTAATATCAGTACATATAATACTTAACCCATGACATAAGCTAAATATTAGCCCCTGGATTTTAGGAGATATTACAGGCTACTGGTCAAAAATATATCATATCTTTGTCCATCAATATAGTGACAGCATATTTGGATTTGCAATAAACTGGTCAAAAATATATCATATCTTTGTGCGTCAAAATAGTGACAGCGTTTTTGCATTTGCAATACATAAAATACCATAATACAGCACTCTTTTTGTAATTGCTTTTATGTTTTTAATGGAACCAAAATATTATTTGGTTATATTTCAAAACTTTACCAGTGTTATTGGGTTTTATTTTAATGCTGAGATTCAACTTTTCCTGTTAGTTTATTATTCTGCCAATGCGTCTCAATACCACTTTATATCACCAGCCCAAAAAGAAAAAAAAACAAAAAACAAAAACAGCAGCAGCAGCAGACGATGGACATGCACTCACTCTTGTTTATACAGGGATCTATAACTGATCCCCCACCACCACATTTCCTCGGGTCAGCAGGTCCCCAGGGGCTGTGTGTAGGGGGGATCTGTCTGGCTGACAGGCTGCTGAAAAGGAGCAGAAAGAGGGGCCAGCAGCTGCCAGCCGGCCAGCTATTGTGGAGCTGCTGTTCCCAGGCAATCTACACATCTTGATCAGCTGAGACTGCCAGCTCCTGCACCCCTTTGTGTCTGAAAACATCAAATCCTTGTGTCTAGCTCTGTAGAGACATGCACCGAAGTTTGGAAAGCCTGTTCCCTTTTCTTTAAAATGTACTTAATAAAACATTATTACACTCTACACTGTATATTACCGGCTATACTAGCGGTTTTACTAATGTTGTTACACATGATTTAAATTATTATTTTTTTACAAGAGATTATTAGGTGATTGCTTTTTTCAATGCTAAGCCATTTGGGGCCATAAAATAGTGGAAAATATGAACTGGTGTGTCTGAAAGCAGAAAAAAAAACACGAGCTCAAATGTCTTGTTTTTTTATGAACAAACAAATGAACCAGGAAGTGTTTACATTTATGATGTTGGGAAGTCACAGCTGACTCAATGTTAACAAAAACAAAGTTGTGTAAAGATCTTTATAAATCTAGGAGGAAGACATTACATTAGGAAGTTGATGTTGATAGCAGTTATAGTGAAGAAAGGGTAATATTAGTATATTATAATGATTGGTTACGAACACAGACACTGGTGTAAATCTAACTATGTGATTTTGTTATAATTGTGCTAAAGTCTAACCACTGTGGTAATAAACCAGGTGTTAGTGAGAAACCACAGTTTGTCTCACTGTGAAAAGTAATGAAGAAAAAAAAATTTTTTTTTTACTCCAACCAGTGTCAGTTACATTGATTTAAAAAAAGCATTATTACTTTCACGTTATGTTCTTTGTGGCCAATAATACAAACAAAACATGGGTTATTTTTTATTTATGCACCGACCCATTAGGTATTAATGATCTATTACTGTGATGTAAATGAACAGATTTGTATATTGTGATAAGAAACACAAAACCATTTTATAATAATATTATTAATGATTATAGTTTTGTACACCTAATAGCCGTCGTTAGACAGCATTTATTTTGTTTTTCTCCGTTCCGGTCTTTTAGAAAAGGCAACAAGAAGGACGACGAATATGATTACATTTATGTCTACGGTTCATTTGGTTCACGTAAAACCCCACAATGACGTTAGAAGTTTCGAATATGCAGACACCACCATTTTCCAAGAGTGAGGAAAAAGCAGCGGAGTGAAGCAGGAACAGCCTGACGCCATTAATGTTGCAGCAGCTGTCACCTACACAACTTTTCCTCCACTTCACCCGCGCTAGAAGGAAAGAAACAAGAAAAGGACAACGTTTAAAAGGGAGAGACAAACCTGTCACGACCACAGTTCGTTTGCTGTTATCCATCTCCCGTCGTGTTACAGAAGAGCCACTGCCTTATTGATGTTCGGTTCTTCTTTTCAGTCGCGGCCGTAAAAACACCCAAGCTCCGCCGCAGCTGACGGGTCCTTCCAACATCAGACTAAAGCTGAGGAGCCGGTGTCCCTGTTGTAGGCCGTTCTTCTTCTCTTCTTGTTTGTTTTAGACAAACCTGGGACGCACTGGGTATATTGGTGCCTCCTATTGGTGTGGATGCGGCACTGCTTAACACAGCTTTACAGGCGTTAGATTAGATCGAACTTTATTGATCCCACACTGGGATAAATGACATGTTGCAGCAACAAAAACGGGACAGAGAATGACTTAAAGACAGGAAGAAAATAAAATTAGAATAAAGTTTACATTGCGCGGGTAGAATAGACAAAAAGTATCCATAAAAATATAAAATACTAGAAGCAATTGATATTTCTTTGTATGAATAATACAATATATCAGTTATTTCTAAAGTTTGTATCATTTGATAATGATAACTAAACATTTTATATAATAAAACATGGTATTCCATCTGAAACCACTGACATAAAAACATAAAATAACTTCTTATGTTATTTAAATGCAAACACCACTGACATAAAAACATAAAATAACTTATTTAAATGCAAACGATACTGTTCACAATACGATGTTTAGAAATACAATACATTTTTCCAGCATATACTAAACTAAAGAAAAGGCGATGCCACTAAATGTTCTCTTCTTTGACAGTGTTTGGAATACATTGGTTATGTCTTTTTATTAAGATGAGGGTTTGGGTTTTTTTTCCCTCCTCTTTTTTGTCACACTTGTCACAGAGCATCAGGAAAACCATGCATTCAACTCAGCCAGGGCTTGACTGGAAAGTGTGAAGAATCTTCAGCTCCTCCGCCATCTGTGTCTGTTCACCAAGCTGCCAATAGTGATTATCACACTGTGTGTTATGGGCCTGTACGTCCAGTGTTGTGCTACTTGGACTGTCCAGCTGTAAAGTGCCTCAGACCGGGTTGTTTGCATGTAAGGCAGTGGATCTGCTCCCTGCAGCACAGAGGAGCAGCTGCAGTGCTGTGACAGGCCACTGAGCAGTGTGTGATTAGTGAGGCGCTCCACTCCACTCGTGTTTCTGCTACATTTGATGCTCCACTCTCTCATGGTCTGTCCACTTTAATGCACTTAAATGATTTATTCTAAATCAGTGGTGACACCAAACTCAGGTCAGTGGCTCTTACTCAGCATCGTAGTCATGTTTGTCGAGTTTATGAGAACATTAGTTGATCTTAAATATGCAGAAATATATATATTTTTTCCTTTTACACCAATTAACAAGTGCAGTAGAACCAATTTAAACTGTGTTAGCATAACTACATTGGAACAACACCCAACTGTACTCAGTAACACTTCAGAGGATGCAGTATTCTTATACTTGCTGGTTATTTCAGTTTAAATCACTACAAACTATTTCAATTTTCAAAGCCCAAGTGCAGACAACACAGTAAGTCTCTTTGGGCTCCAGGGTCTGAATGTGAAATGATACAACTCCAAAAAAAAAAAAAAAAAAAAACACATTTAAAAGAAATACAAACGCGAGTGATCACACAAGAAAAATCAAACATTCTGGAACAGCGGATAGAAGGGAAAAAAAACCCAACAACTTCCTTTTAAGGGAAAGAAATCACTGTCAGACCAGAACGAGAGTTTGCTGTATCTGACTCTGCAGGTGGAACGTCAGAGGAGGGAGGGAAAGTGATAGAAAAGATTGGTGTGGGCAAAGGAGATGGGGAAATATAACTGTTATTTTTAAATACTGTCAGACAAATTGCTCTGATGTCATGATGACAGCACAGCAACAGAGTTCACCATAGAACGAGTGTTAGCAGCAGTACCAAAATGTGAATTAGAGCAACAGAGTTCACCATAGAACGAGTGGTAGCAGCAGTACCAAAATGTGAATTAATCATAACAACAACAATAATAATAATAATCAAAATAATCACCATTAGCATGACCATACCATAGCAATTCTAATAATTGACAAAATGTTTATGTCCATTCAGTGGAAATATCTGGGGTGTTTAAACTTTTATATTTACAATGTTATTACATAATTATTTAGTCATTAAAAATTTTAATATTTTTAACATTTTACATTTTTATATTTTGTTATGAAACTGTCTCAGTTTCTGTGCATTCGTACCATTGAATATTTTTTATTTTTATTGTTGCTCTAATTTTTAATTCACATTGTTATTCTTCTATTTTACAACTTTGAAAAAAGCTTTATTTGCTGCGAACCGTCACTTTGCCGTGGATCCTTCATCTGTCTTTTCACTGGGGCACAGGCCAATCACTGGATTATAATTCATATCATGACATTTCAGAGGAAAATGATAAGCAGGCAACGGTGACTGGATTGTACTTTGCATTGTGGCCACAGGGAGGCGCGGGAGAGATTCATGTACTGTGAGGGATCCCAGTGTGAGCTGGCAGGGAGACGAGAGGGGAGAACCGCACAAGTCACTGGAGAAGGTTGGAGCTAAAAGTGTTCTGCCGCCAGACTTTCATCGACGTCCATCTGTCTGCGTCGCCTGCAGAACACAGATAAAGCTAAGGTTTACGGTGCGTAATTACGCACGGCTGAGAGGGAAGACCGGCGCTGTGTTGCTGTGGACATCGGCGGACAAAGGGAAGGCGAACGAGCTGGAGTCCAACAACTGACTTGAGAGCAGAGCAGAGGAGTGCTGTTGGAGAGGAAACCGGGGATCTGGAGTCGGAAGTGATTTGTCTTTTTTTTCTCCTCTTCGGAAATGTAACTTTGTTTCAGGATCTGCGGCACAAAAATAAGCAAGTTTGGGAACCGTGAAGAAGAGAGGCAGAGTGTGTTACTGAGAGGAATATTTCCATAAAACAGCACTCCGATCTTCAGAGCATGGGGTAAGTTGGAGATTTGTGTCAGGAATGTCTGGAACTGATATGTGTTGAAATGGAAAAATGCATTCAAAAGTCAACATGTGCCGAGTCGGATATTCTGGGTGTGCAGGGGTTTGGTCGACTGGAAAACACATATTTTGGATCTCACGTGTGAGGGTGAGAGAGAGAGAGAGAGAGAGAGAGGGACAGAGTGAGAGAGAGTGAGAGAGAGAGAGGGAGGGGTGGTGAGAGAGGGAATAGACTTCGAAGTGATTTGTGTCACGTTGTAGTTTTCACAGATATTTTTGAGACTAAAACCTACAGTAGCTACATTAATGAAGGTTTGACTGAAGTCTGGTGTTGGCCGCCACTCGAATGATGGCTGTGACTGTGGTGAGGTCAAACATAAGGGGCATGTTCTCTGCTCTGACTTGTTTCATGTGTGTGTGCTGGACTTGTGATTATATGGTAATAAAGTCTAACAGAGGTCTCTTACACATCACCCAGTCAGATACAGTGATTTCCTGTTTCCTGCTGTCATGATGGTCGTAACACACACACTGACACACACACACACACACACAGAGAGAGAGAGAGCGAGCCTATAAAGTGATAACCCAATAACCCAGTAATAAATGTCACTATCAATAACCCAAACCAATACATCCCCAAAATGCAGACATTTTAACCAGTGCTGGCAAAATAAGCATTCTCCTTCCTGCAGGGGGTGCTGTAAACACAATTTGGATGCAAGATAAAGCAATACAGTATATGGTATTATTTGGTACCATGTATATACAGTAGTGTAGTCTGTACAGCTTCAGATTTTGTCATTGCTACTTTGCAGTTATTCCTGCTTGAGCTGAAAGTTGTCAAAAAACAACAACAACAACAAAAAAGGAAATTTAAAATGGAGTCAAACGGCAGAATCTGTTTTGATTTAGATGTATTAGCTCACAGCAGTGATCCTCCCCCCCGACCCTAACACCTGACTTCCTGTCCAGGTTTTAGCTGCAAATTTGTTAGCTCACAGCAGTGATCCTCCCCCCCTGACCCTAACACCTGTCCAGGTTTTAGCTGCAAATTTATATCCTTTTTGTTGCATTACTGCCACCCAGCATTTCAGGTTTCCACTGAAAAACAATCCACCCAAACATGTCCTGACCACTGCACACAAACACAACATCAACTAGTTTAGGTGGAGGAGTCACTAAATGTTCAGGAAACCTACTAAACCAGGTTATATATTTCATTTTCTTTCCTACAGACAAAGTCTAAATAAAGAGGGTTAGCCTCACCAGGACTAAATTTAGGTGAACATCAGGACGACTGCTCCTAATGATACCAAACATTGCCCCCAAAACTGTGAGACAAATAGCTACACCCCCTCTCACGCAGACTCACCTCCATCTAGCCAAACAGACTGACTAAAACTGTGTCCCTAATATCATCCCAAATGTGGAAAGCCATAACCGTAACCATGCAAATTAAGAGCGCCGCAAATGAGGTCCCACCTCATTAGGACCAGACAGTGGTCCCCATGAGGGACACTGGCCCAAAGAAGTCCATCTGCATGTTAGCATGGACTAAAGGGTAACTAACAAAGACACTGTACTCAATACATGCACTGATTGTGCAGAGACTTCTGGGGGGGCGGGGGGGGCGGGGGGGGGGAGGGTTTCGTTCATCCTCCCACGCTTCAAGGACATTCAGATTGAGGAGAGGAACTTAATTGAAGACACTCTTTGAATGTAAATAACTGTTTGTCACAGTGTGACGGACCGGGCGACCTGTCCTTGGTTAATTCTGGACAAGTGTCGCCTGGGATCGACTAGCACTCTCCCCCCGTGACCCTTAACGAGAAAGGCAGTTGATGAAAGGGACGGTGCGTGAATGGGATTCTGCTCTGAGTTCTGAGTGCGGTCGCGCTGCTTTGTGAGACTCCTGTGTGTGAAGCTGAGTCTCTTCACCCGAGTGTGTGTGTGTGTGTGTGTGTGTAGTATGAATTATACATGCGGTGAAACCAGTCAGCCTGGTGCAACTACACCTGAACCCTTCTTACGTTCCCTGGTCTCTGCCTCTGCCCTCTGGGGTTCAGTGATACTCGCAGTGAGACCTCGATGACTGCATGTTCAAACGCACTCTCACGGTATCACTGACCTCACGGTACGGTGTACGCCACATGAAGGTAAGTCTGTTTGTGGAGATCAAGTGTTTCCAGCTCTAATTAGGAGGACTGAACTCTCTGGACTAAGACTGTCTTGACAATGTGCTGTAAATGGTTCATATTTTGCAGAATTTTTTTTTCTGTTGTTACTATTTTGTGCTTCGGTGAAAAGCACATTTTAGCATCAACACTTGTCACTTTTCTCAAAACTCACATGGGAACAAATTGTATGTCAAACCAGAGCCAACCTCAAAACACACACACACACACACACACACACACAATGTCCTACTTTCAAATAACAAGAATCCTGTTACTTTTTTAGCGGACAAGTTATCCAACTTTAATGAATGATGAGAACATATTTTGGCTGAACTATTTTTGTTGAACTGAAATATACTGATTTTATTTTTAAAGAAATATATTTGACATTTTTCTACCAAAATAAAAACTGTGGACCTTGACTGCTAACAGCAAAACAACATCACAGGAATCACAGTCTGCTTTCGTTGATAGACCAAGAGGGGCGCGTCCTGAGAGCACCCCCTGCTGGACGACACCTTATCACACATCAAAACAACTTCAGAACTTGACCAGTAATGGGTTATTTTAGTAAAAAGTCTCAGCTTTGGAAAAATCAACATCTGAACTTGAAACATATATTTCTTTCCTCGGCCAACTGTGTTTTTTTTAACTGTATGTTGATTCCCTACTGGAATAACGTGGAGCGTCTTCTCCCTCTTGCCCTGCTGCAGAAGAGGACTTGTCTCCGAGCTGTAAAATGTACCCACTACACCGAGAGAGGTACCAACATACTGCTTCCTGTTTGGTGTTGTTCTGCATGACAGGGATGGGCGATAATTAAAGCACACACTTTTAGATGATCCTGATCACCTGATCACTGTCCTACAGACGTTTGAGTAAAGACCTGAATAGTAAAGTCTCTGATGCGGCTGAAGAATATGTACAGGATGTACATATATGTGTAAATACACAGCTACTCCTTATTATATTGATATTAGTTGCTTTTTTGCCAATGTGAAATCAGCATCATTTTATGGATCATCAATTTGACATTATTTTGAGAACAGGTTTTTTTATATATATATAACCAAGTGATCTTTAATATCCGTTCTTAAATCGCCCATCCCGACTCCATCGACCAGTCACATGCCTTGGAGGCCAAAAATCAACCATCATCACGTTGTCATGGCGTTAACCCTTCTGCTGCCATAGTGTAGTGAGTTCTGATTCACACAGTGAAGGTTTGACGCCTGTCATGACGTCAGCATGGTCCCCTGCCGTCGCCTCCTTGTGGCTCCCTCATCACATCGTCTCATAGTTTTTAGATTTGTTCTGTGTTCGATCTCTCGATCATGTTTTGGAGAGGTCTGTTTTGCATGGTAGTTTTGGAGATGCTGTAAAATATTACTCCACAAGTCTAGATACTCACGAAGAGTCGCTGTGTGTGAAGAGTTTCATTTATTATTGAGATGCATCTTCAGCCTGCAGGACAGACATGTACAAAAGTCTGAGGAATTGTGGGAAAAACCTCACCAAACAAATCATTTTGTTTTGCAGCCTTTTAATTAGATTTGGTGTGGTCATATTTGCACAAAATGAAGCTAGGACTAAAACATGTCTAAAGAATAGCCCACTCATCAATTCAAGGTGTAAAAAAACGGTCATTTTAGTCCATAACAAATGTCGTGAGATATTTTTCAGAAAGCTCCTTGAAAAATGTGGAGCATTGTTAATATCACGGCACTCGAAACATTTGGCTGACCCACTAAAGCACAGATCTGCTGATTACACTGAGGCAACACAAACTCATCTATTACCTCTTTATTTACACGCTCTGAGAAAATGTGCAAATATGGACTTTATTTTGCTTTTTATTCCAACAGTTTCTGGGTTAATAAAAAGCCGGTGCTTCAGTTTACATATAGGGATCTGAAAACTACAATTAACACTTTGTCGTTTTCATCGAGGTTTATCTTGAGTTTCAGTGTGAATTAGGTTGATATGTTGCCATAAAATAAAAGATGTTCTTCCTAAAAGTCCACGTTATTCAGTAGTATTATCGCATTAAAAGGCAAACCCTGGTGAAAAGTGGTTTATTTAAGTGAATATGACACAAATATTAGCCTGAAATAAATTGACGTAAATATATTTGACATTTTACCCAAAACACAAATCTCTCATAAAATTCGGTACTACTTTTTTTTAATTTTTTTTTTATACAACATCACATCAGGCTGAAGTGTTCACTCTGGCCAGGTTGATCCACCCTCCCCAGGGTCAGGCTGATATAAAACATTTCCATTGTCTGTGTCCTCTGGGCCGAGGAGAAGAGCTCAGTGTGGATTTTTATTTTTGGAAATATCCGCAAATACTCGAAACAAACAAACTGTCATCTACAGTATTTCTTCTACTGGCGTTAAAAAGAGACCTGAGTTAAACGTTCAACTCTCTCTCTCTGTGTCTCTCTTTATCTCTCTCTCTCTCTCTGACCTTCATATCCAGAATACAAAGAACACTCTGCATTGTGCCACCTTCTCATTTTGAAGAGGGAGTAACTCAGAAGTTGAACCCATGAAAAGCTGACCTTCACATAACTCAGATAACTCAATAGCTATGATGAAACAAAACAGGGATTCCCAAAGTGTGGTGCGCGCACACTTAGGGGTGTATGATCTGCCACTAGGGGGTGTGCGGGATAAAAAAAAAATCTGTGCTGCAGATGTGGTGACTCTGTGTTCAGGCACAATCTGAGTTAATGTTTTAAACGCTGTGATCTGTAAGTACGTAGCTGTAGTGGCTCATGTTGCCACACGAGGCACTGTGGGCTGGCTCG